CTGCGATTCATGGTTGATTGCAAGGTAAGGATTGATTCTGGACCTACTACTAGAGTTTGCGGCTAACGTACTATTTAATCTAGATTCAAGGCATGTCGTGGGTGGAAGCCCCTGCTGGCAGCTACAGTTTAATCCCAGAACACAGCAAGCAATCCAACTGCCAGATTGAAGCCGAAATCAACTACGTCGATCTCATTGCCCACAAGCCAGAAGGAGAGTGGGCCAAGATGGCTCCTCTACGGATCCTATCCTTCGATATCGAGTGCGCTGGACGCAAAGGCATCTTCCCCGAGGCCGACATGGATCCGGTTATTCAGATTGCAAACGTCGTGACCAAGTACGGAGAGAAGAAGCCCTTTATCCGAAACGTCTTTTGCTTGGACACGACCAGCTCTATTGTGGCCACGCAAATTTTGGACTATGAAAAGGAAGAGAAGATGCTTCACGAGTGGCAGCAGTTTCTCATCCGGGTCGACCCAGATGTCATTACCGGATACAACATTTCCAACTTTGATTTTCCCTACCTTCTTGATCGTGCAAAGCACCTCAAGGTGCAAGGCTTCGAATACTGGTCGCGCATCCCCAGCAAGCCTTCCAGGGTGAAGGATACCAACTTTACAAGTAAACAAATCGGTAGCCGAGATACCAAAACTACAAATACCAATGGCAGATTACAGCTCGACATGCTGCAGTTAGTCCAGCGAGATCATCACCTGCGAAGTTACACCCTTAACTCTGTGTGCTCACAATTCTTGGGCGAGCAAAAGGAAGATGTGCACCACACCATGATTACAGAACTGTTCAACGGAACACCCGAGTCGCGCCGTCGTCTGGCGCTCTACTGTTTGAAGGACGCGTATCTTCCCCAGAGACTGATGGATAAGCTGTCTTGTATGGAAAACTATACAGAGATGGCCAGAGTCACGGGTGTTCCTTTCAACTTCTTGCTTTCACGTGGACAGCAGATCAAATTCGTGAGCCAGCTTTTCCGAAAGGCGCTGGAACAGAAGCTGGTCATCCCTAACATCGCCCCTCAGGGGACAGAAGCTCAGTACGAAGGTGCGACAGTTATTGAGCCGACACGAGGATACTACGACGTACCTATCGCTACGCTGGATTTTGCTTCTCTGTATCCAAGTATCATCCAGGCACACAACCTTTGCTACACGACCTTGTTAAGACCAGGAGACGCGGAGAGATTTAAGCTCGAAAAAGACGTGGACTACATCATCACTCCTAACGGAGATCAGTTTGTGACTGCCGCAAAGCGCAAGGGTCTGCTCGCGCAAATTCTTGAAGAATTGCTTTCTGCCAGAAAGCAGGCCAAGCGAGAGCTTGCCCAGGAAACGGATCCCTTCAAGAAAGCTGTGCTGAACGGTAGACAGCTGGCTTTAAAAGTCAGTGCCAACAGTGTCTACGGCTTGACGGGTGCAACAACAGGAAAGCTGCCTTGTCTCGCAATCGCAAGTAGCACGACCAGTTTCGGTCGTCAGATGATTGAGAAGACGAAACGAGAGGTGGAAGAGAGGTACAATATCGCAAACGGCTACGCCCACGATGCCCAAGTCATCTATGGTGATACCGATTCCGTGATGGTCAAATTTGGAACCAAAGATCTCGCAGAGGCGATGAAACTGGGCGAGGAAGCCTCCAAATTTGTGTCGGAGAAGTTTTTGAAACCAATCAAGCTGGAATTCGAAAAGGTCTACTTCCCGTATCTTCTCATCAACAAGAAGCGATATGCCGGCCTGTACTGGACAAGAACGGAGAAATACGACAAGATGGATACCAAGGGTTTGGAAACAGTGCGGCGTGACAACTGCTTGCTAGCGCAGACGGTAATTGAAAAAGTGCTGAGAATGATTCTTATTGACCGAGATGTCCAGGGTGCACAAGAGTAAGTAAAGTGTTGATTGTGTTTCGTGTTGTCAGATCACTAACAGAAAGAAAAGCTACGTCAAAAATACGATTGCAGATCTGCTGCAGAACAAGATTGACATGTCGAAACTGGTCATCACAAAGGCCCTGACCAAGGAGGATTATGCAGCCAAACAAGCTCACGTTGAGCTTGCACAGAGGATGAAGAAGCGTGACGCCGGCTCGGCTCCTGGTCTTGGCGATCGAGTGGCGTATGTCATGGTGAGGGGTGCGGCGGGAGCCAAAAACTTTGAAAAGTCGGAGGATCCAATCTACGTGCTGGAGAACAACGTGCCGATCGACACTAAATACTATTTGGACAACCAGTTAGCGAAGCCGCTTGGCCGTATCTTTGAGCCCATCCTGGGTGAGACAAAGGCCAAGTCTCTGCTAAATGGAGACCACACGCGTATCATCTCGGTGGCCGCCCCCACGGTGGGAGGTCTCATGAAGTTTGCCAAGAAGACGCAGACGTGCATGGGGTGCAAGAAGCCGCTCACAGGCCAGCACGAGAGCGCAGGCGCAGTTTGCAGCGACTGCGCGCCGCGTGTCGGAGAGCTGTACAACAAGACGCTGGATCGAGTATCAGACCTGGAAGTGCGGTTCGGACGGCTGTGGACGCAATGCCAGCGATGTCAGGGCAGCATGCACTGCGAGGTCATTTGCAGTAGCAAGGACTGCCCCATCTTTTATATGCGGATGAAGGCTAAGAAGGATTTGGAAGACGCGGGCAAGGAGCTTTCCAGATTCGATGCAGATCAAGCAGCTATTTGGTGAGAGATGGGGGTTAGGAGGCGAAAAGAGCGAGTGTGTGGGGACATGTACAATGATGCATGCAACCCTTTTTTCTGTTGATCTACTATTTTATCCTTGTCAAGCGAGGAGAGCTAACTTTGTTTTGCTATTTGTATTCATCATTGGATGTGTATGATGTATGCGTGGGATAATGCGATGCGAAAGGGTGCGGAAGAGAGGTCGGTAGTTGGTATGAGGGGCATGTTACAAAGTGCTTGGGATCGGTTGTGCATATCACAACTTTTGATTTATCATTTATTTAGTCGGAATAGCGTATCATTGAAGATAAAAGAAAGAAGAGCATTTAGGATCTAATTACGTCCCGATATTATGAGAGGAGATGTTGGAGTGATGTATGCATCGCCGAGAGAGGAGCGTATATACGTTCGGCGCTGATGCAACGCAGGGCCTAGGTTTGGCTTATTCCGAGGCCCAAAGCAGACAGCGCCGCTAATACTATTATGCGCAATTTCAGATGCTAGTCTCTGCTAGTAATTGCTGCGTCGCCTCCCGCGTTTGTCAGGCCAGTTGAAAGAATCTTGGCGTGGCGGTTTCCGTGCCACTCCGATACCGCACTTTGCAGGCTTGGAATCTTGTGTGTGGCCATTGTATTGGCGGTTTGATGTTGCTCGGTAAGGGTGAATTCGGGAGGCGAAGGGGACGATTTGCAGGGCGGGATGACGGGAGGAGTCGGAGAAAGGGAACCTGGAACTTTGAGAGTTTGTGATGCGCAATGTACCTAGATTGCGTGTATGTATGTAGGTTATTGTGAGGCTACATCGGGCCTATGTAGAGATTGGCTAAATGAAGCTTTTTAATACGATGATACTGAGGATATTTATGTTAGGATACGTAATCAAGAGAGATGATATTTAAAAAGCTAATCGAATAATATCAAGCCAAATTGAATTAAAAGCATTGAATGTTTGGAACTTTGATAAAGGCTCATTTGTATAGATAGGCACGACAGCATGTGCCAGTGGACAAAGTGTAATATGTGGTGGCGTCACCTACGATGCTGAGATAAGGCATTCTGCCACGTCGGCCTTTGTGTCCTCTGAATGGCTCAGACACGGCAAATTACACATGTCATGCCAAAATATAATGAATTACACAGCAGAGATACTGTACTACAGTACATAGACAATCTGAGTAGAAATAGCTCGTGTGCTCCCAATTCCCACAATGCCGGTTACGGCCGTCCGGGCAGCGGCCAGCAAAGCGCTGTGATTGGCCAATGGGCATTGCGCGAACGCAATTGTATCTTCAAACCGTTTGGAGGCGGATCTGGCCAATCACGGCGGACGGGGTCGCTCGGATAGGGACAATTGATAATGGAATTTCGGGCGCTAAAAGTTACAGGTTTCAAGCCGCAAGACACTTAGATATCGATGTCGGCCTTTTTGGGGGGGGCGTCTTGGTCTTTATTTGGTGGATCGATCGGTTTTTCTTTTTTTTTTTTTCTCTTTTAATTATCGATATGGTTTACTTGATGAGATCATGGCTTGGGATAGATAGGAAAGATATCAAGCCGCCACGCTGGCTAGGCTTAGTCCTGTATCCTCTTTCTCTGTGTACACTCCCTGTCTTCCCCCAGTTTGTTGCCTTGGTTGATTGCAAACCATATTTGTTCCGGCAATCGGTCCTTGTGCGTGTGTGAGACGCAGCTCTCGGCGCCTTTTTTTTCTGATTGAAATTAAATTGCTTTTTCCCAATATCGCGCGTGGGGCTTGTTTTGCCAGCCACGGTGAGCGATTACCGGCGAGGTGCATTAGCCTTTCCTGGATCTTTCTCGCATTCTGGCTGTAGCCTTTTTGGTGGTGGTGATGCCATCTCATCTAAGCAGCACCCCCCCGTGAGCGACTTTCGGAGCAAAAAAAGGAAGGCTTGGTGCTAGTAATTGAAGTAAAGTATCAAGCCATGGCTTAGATCTCTGGAGACGTAACGTCCCATGGGGGGCGTGTGTGGGATGGGCGGTCCTCCCGGTGGTTTTTATCTGTACTTTTCTGCTTTGCTTGCGTCGAGTTTCGCCGAGAGTGGAAAGTCTAGCCTGGGCTTGTTGATAGGCAACGCCCATGAGCAAACGTCTATATAGAGCAGCGTCTTTCCCAGATTTCCTTTCCTCGTTCTCTCTCTCTCTCTCTCTTACTTCTTTCATATCCATCTGTCGTGATTTGATTCATCTAGCTGTCGCTTTAATAGACCGCAGAGCCTGGACGGAACTATATCCTGCTAGATACCATCCATCACTTTAGACGACAGCAAGGTTCAGCAAGACACCATCGACAATGTCTAACCTTGCGAGCGAACCCGAATTCGAGCAGGCCTACAAGGGTGAGTGGTCACTGCACTTTCCAGAGCCTCAGTTGGTGCTATGTATATATGCCCAACGTTTTCAAAACTTCATGATGCTCTCTCTCTCTATATATAAACACACACAGACACATACATAGAGAGAGAGAGCATCGAGAGATTCTCGAAAATACAGTCAACACCCATCTTTTTCGCACATATACCAACTCACACCAAACAGAGCTGGCCAGCACCCTCGAAGACAGCACCCTCTTCAAGGAGCACCCCGAGTACCGCACCGCCCTCGAGGTCGTGTCAATCCCCGAGCGTGTGCTGCAGTTCCGCGTCACCTGGGAGGACGACAAGGGCGTGCTGCGCGTGAACCGAGGCTACCGAGTGCAGTTCAACTCGGCCCTGGGCCCGTACAAGGGTGGACTTCGGTTCCATCCCACTGTCAACTTGTCCATGTAAGAGGAATCTGAGGTTTTGATTTCCGTCTTGAAAACAGACAGCTGACAAAAGAATCTGTATAGTCTCAAGTTTCTCGGTTTTGAGCAAATCTTTAAGAATGCTCTGACTGGCCGTAAGAAATAACCACCCCTTTTCATGCTTCTTCTTGCCATGAAGATCTCTCGTGCCATCTTCATGGCAAGAAGAAGAAGAAGAAGAAGGTTAAGGACCTCTGAAGCTAACCATTATACAGTCAGCATGGGTGGTGGCAAGGGAGGCTCCGACTTCGACCCCAAGGGCAAGTCGGACAACGAGATCCGCCGCTTCTGCCAGGCCTTTATGCGCGAGCTGTCCCGCCACATCGGCGCCGACACGGACGTGCCCGCCGGCGACATTGGCGTGTCCGGCCGCGAGATTGGCTACATGTTCGGTGCCTATCGTCAGGCGCGCAACCGCTTCGAGGGCGTGCTCACCGGCAAGGGCCTGGGCTGGGCCGGCAGCCTGATCCGCCCCGAGGCCACGGGCTACGGGCTCGTCTACTACGTCGAGCACATGCTGCAGCACGCCGGCCAGGGCAGCCTCGCCGGCAAGCGCGTGGCCATCTCGGGCTCCGGCAACGTGGCCCAGTACGCGGCGCTCAAGTGCATCGAGCTGGGCGCCACCGTCGTGTCGCTGTCCGACTCCAAGGGCTCGCTGGTCGCCCCCGAGGACGGCGCCTTCACGCCGGAGCACATCACCGCCATTGCCGACCTCAAGACCCAGCGACGCCCGCTGACCGACTTCCACTACGCCGACAAGTTCAAGTACTACCACGGCGCCCGGCCCTGGGTCCACGTCGGCAAGGTGGACGTCGCGCTGCCGTCGGCGACGCAGAACGAGATCAACAAGGCCGAGGCCGAGACGCTCGTCGCCAACGGCGTGCTGGTCGTCGCCGAGGGCTCCAACATGGGCTGCACGCAGGAGGCCATCGACCTGTTCGAGGCCCAGCGCAAGGTGAACGGCCAAAAGTCCGTCTGGTACGCCCCCGGCAAGGCCGCCAACTGCGGCGGTGTCGCCGTCTCTGGCCTCGAGATGGCCCAGAACAGCCAGCGCCTCACCTGGACCGAGAAGGAGGTCGACGACAAGCTCAAGTGCATCATGAAGAGCGCGTTCCTGGCCGGTCTCGAGACGGCGCAAAAGTACGTCGCCTCCAAGGAGGGCGAGCTGCCCAGCTTGGTGGCCGGCAGCAACATTGCCGGCTTCGTCAAGGTCGCCGAGGCCATGCGTGACCAGGGTGACTGGTGGGCTTAAGTTGCTTGTTTCGACCTTTGAGCTTTTTTTCCTTTTGTGATACCTCTTCTTTTTTCCTCTCTTTGGTGTCTTTTAAGAGCAAAGGGACGTTTGGCGTTTTGGGGCCGGGACACGGCAAGGACTACAGTGATTGCATAGCATGGCATTGATATCGGCGGTTGAGATATCCACGATGGCGAAAAAAAAGTATTAGTGATAGTGATGATTGTGAAAATAAGACATCTATTATTGCAAATATTATGGGCCATATTCGTGAAGATTTGTAAAAAGCCAACCGACATTTCAACCAGTTGACGTAGATTGGTTTAGACAATATATCGTATATATAAACGTTTCACCTGACATTACAGTAGATGACGTAGACAATGACTGTTTTCTTCGTCTTTCAACCAAAGAGTTGTATTATACTGGGTATCGATATGAGACGTGCATCAAGCTACTTTCGTTACTCTCTAATTCCAATAAATCACTCTTCATCCGCAGATTCTCCTGCCAGGAGCTGTTCCTTTATCCGCTGGCTCGGCAGCCATCGGTCTTCCGGAATCCACCACCAGGAAAGCAGCGCAAAGATTGTCACGGCGCCCATAATCACCGGCGCATAGTTGAGTGTAGAGCCCGTAACGGGGAATTCATATGGCGAGTAGAGTACCGCGACCACCCATCCGTTCCACAGGACAGAAATCGCCTGAAAGGGCTTGCTCCAGCGGCCCAGGCTCCAGGCTGGCTTGGGGAAGGTCTTTGGCGTAAAGAAGAGCCGGCCAATGCAGATGAGCCCGTAGGCTGCGGCAGAGGGAACACCTGCGGCTGATACGAGCGATGTAAAGGCCACCGAGGAGGGCAGGATGGTGCAAGTAATGATGGATGAGACGACCCAGACGACGATGACGGCGTTGCGAGGCTGGCCGTCGACGACCTGAGAGACCCAGGAGGACCAGGGCAGGACTCCGTCTCGAGCTACGGCGAAGACGAGGCGTGAGGCGGCGAGGATAGCGATAGCAGTGTTCTATAAAAGTGTAAGCCGGTGAATGCGACGGGCATATAGAAAAGTAGGGGTCAAACATACAAACCATAGGGCGACGATGCAGACTATGTTCATTACAATGTGGCCACCCTTGCCCAGGAGGACAGCATATAGAGGCACAAATGGTTGAACGCTGCCGTAGGAGAAGAGAGTATCTGGATCAGGCTGTTGCAGAGATGGTCAGATTGGTTTGATTTACTGTATAATAACAATTCCGGTCCTTACAGTGCAGAAGAGGAAGAGGATAACGACGACGAAGCCTCCAATCCCGCTGACTACGGTACTCCAGAAGATGCCTCGAGCCGCAGTTACGCTGGCGTTGCGCGTTTCTTCGGCGACGTGGCCTGACGCATCGAAGCCGATGAGGATACCGGCCGTCGCAAGGTAAGAGAGGCACCAGTTCCAGCCAGGAGAGGCGCCGGTACCATTGTAGGTGGTCATGAAGGCATCGTGGGCAGAGCGGAAACCGATGGTCTGGGCGGTGCCGATGGGGAGCCAGATCATGTTGAGGAGGAAGTCGAGGATGACAGAACCAGTTGAGAGATAGAAGATCCATTTAAAGTATTTTGCTGTTGAAAGGTGTTAGTTGAGGCAGGGAAGAAGTGATGGGGTGGGATGCAACAACATACGAGGAAGAAGATTCCATAACGCTGCTAGGCCAAGCAGGACTTCGGTGCAAATCCACTGCACGGCACGGAACTTGACGTCTGAAGGGTCCGAGGGGAAATCAAGATCGAAGACGACAGTTTCCTATCAAGTTTGTCAGTCGGACTGACCAAGAAGTCGTTGGTTGAATGAAGAGATTGATTCCAAGACGTACAGACAGCATGTAGTTGACAGCACCTTGCGTGTTACCTGTAGGGTTCGAGAATCTGGGTCAGTCTGCTGAATTCATTCTTTCGTCTTGAGTAAAACAGTAAAACATACTCGCACAGAATGTCGTCCAGGCAGTTGTGCTCCACCACGCCACGACATAGCCAAAGAGCCTTCCGTACTTTGGTCCGCCTGCCTCAGCCGCCCAGAGGTAGATTGATCCAGCAAGCGGCAGCGATGAGCAGATTTCAGCAATGACGGCGGCACTGATGAATGTGAAGACGCAGGTGACTATGAAACTTGTCCTGTTGGGGTATATCATGAGCAAGGAGGCACAAAGACAACCAACTCATCGTGATGAGTGGGAGATGGGGCCTCACCAGTAGGCGAGATTGCCGCCGGCAGCAATGCCGGTTGAAAAGGTAACTCGAACACCGCCGATGAAGTAAAGAGCGGCTGTGTTGTTGTATGTCTGTTAGTATCTCGTCTCGTCAAGTGCTGGGGGTGGCGATACTCACCAAAGGTCGTCGAAAAGTTGTGAAACAAGTTGAAGGTTCTGTGAAGCACCTACAACAAATTGTTAGGATTTTTCACTTTTCCCAGAGTGAGAGAGCAATATTCCCTCAACGTACAGGCTTGTATCCGAGTTTTGTCTATCCTTGTAGTGTAAGCCAAGATGAATTAAGCCAATCGTTTGAGATTTTTTCATGCAGCATCTTACCAGTACTCGTTGATCTGCGGTCTCTTCGACAATGTCTTCGACGTCTTGCGATTTGGAACCAGTAGATGCATCCTGTAGCACAGGAGAGGGCGCTTCTTCTATCATTTTGAAATCAAGTCGTGTTTAAATGTTTTTGTGTCTCGGTTTTGTAACAGCTGAATAAAAATGAAAAGAGAAAAACGAGATTAAGAATTGCCTGAGAGCTGGGACGGAGAATGAAGAGTGTTGGTTGGCTACCAAATCCTAATCCTAGCTCAGAAAAAAATAGCTCGCTATCACAGCAGGTGACAATGAAATATGGGAAATGAAAGAAGCTTAGTGTTATCACGCCCTGTCCGTCACCCGTTTGATTAACGTATGACAGCCGCCAATTCTTGTCAAGGACGGACTACTAGTGAGCAACAAACAGTTCGTATCCCGAGAGACTCCACAGCGTCGAAAAGATGGATTTTATCATTGTGCAGTAAGAGGATCTTGGGAGATTCTTGTCCGTTTTGCTCTCTCGCCTCGACCCACAATTTCCCATTGCATACGATTAGACGATTGAACTTTATTTGGCGACTTTTCTGCGGGCTTAGAGAGGGGGCCTCGATTTAGCACGCAATTGCCAGGCTATTGTGCTGCCTTTTCACCTCGGTTAAGCCACATGATTTCGGTGGCAATCTTGGACAAGTCTACTTGAGATAAGCTTAAGGCACAGGCAATTAGATAGACTTCCCTAGCTGCGTCGCGAGTTGCTTACATGTAGGGTATGGTGCAGCGAATTCCAGAAGCTTTAGGGTAGCAACACAGTTATAGGCGGGGAAAAAACACTACAACTGGGAGATATCGTCGACCCTGAAGAGTGGGAGGATACGCCTTTTGCTAAGCAGATCAAGCGGCCCGTATGGGTTTACGAGATGAGCCGCTTGCTATCTCTTGTATGACAATAGAGATAGACAATAATCATCAATACTAACCGAAGGCGTTTTTATATCATGTCTTAAGACATGCATATATATATATTCCTATCATCAAGAGTGAGAAGGCTGAAGCAAAGAGCTTGCGCACTGTGTTTTGAGACAGAAATCGCTGTAGTCGACTAATTGCGGTTGACTATAACAGCTTCTGTCTTAAAACAATTTTCGATAATCACATTAAGCTCGAATGCGGCTACGGTGCTAGGGCAGTCTACATTAGCTGCTTCTTACGTGCAATAAGTTTCTCATGCGTTTAATAGCTAAACAGACCGTTTGAAACGTCCCACAGGCGCCGCAAAAAGTCTATAATCATGCGCTAAACCTGTTGAACACTTTGTTTGAATCAGCTAGCAAAGCAGGTTTCAATTTCATCAAAACACTACATGAATGAAGGAACAAATGGTACATTTATTCTATTCTGAAACTTCATACTCGCATTATATTTTCTGCGTTACTGAAAGATGATCAAATTTCGTGTATAAATCAAAACTCTTGTCTCAAAGACGAAACATTACCCAAACTTTACTTGACTGTCATAAACAATTGGTATATATCCCTTTCTTCCCTCTTCACAACTCCCAACGCCATCAATTCTTTCCTTTCTTCTCGCTCGAAGAGGCCGGCTGTCCGGGTATCAGCACCAGCCACAGTGTCTGCGTCTTCAGCTGCAGGTTCGCCATCTCATCAATCTCCAGCCCAGCAATCAGCGGCTCCAGCGCTCTCATCTGTCCCGCAGCGTCAACCCCTTTTGTCTCCCACGCCCTGCTTAAAAAGCTGTCCAATGGCTGGCCCAAAAGATGAGCCAAGCCCGCCGAATCAAACAAGTGGGCGTGTAAGCCGCGCCTGTGAAGCCACTCTTCGTTTGCAACGGCCGCATATGTCGCCGCTCTGTCTTGGGGGGTTTTCGGCTTCTTGGTCACGGCGCCAATGGCCGAGCCGGGGAGCGACAGCGTGGTGCCGACGATGCCAAAGGCCGTCGAGATGGGCAGCGAAATGGAGCCTCCGATGAGGCCCACGGCGGCGCCGATGATGTTTCCCCGTTTGGCGTCCCGCGTGACGTTTTTGCCTATGGACTTGGCTTGGGCGATGACGTTCTTGCCCAGGTTTTTGGGGTTCTCGCCAATGTGCGCAGCTACATCGGTGGCATGTGACAGCGCACGGTCTGATATCTTGGCCGTCAAGAAGGCAGAGATGGTGTTGAGAAAGGAGCGCCAGGTCTGCTCGGTGATGCCGTAGCTAAGCAGTACAGGGGCATATGCTGGGAGGAACGCCGCGTCCGGACTCGGGCTGACTTGAGGAAAGGCGATGGGTCGTGGAGCGGCTTGTGAACTGCTGGAGGCCCCAATGTTGTCGTAGACGGGAGGACTGGCATCTTCCGCGGAGCCGTCTTTGCTGTACTTGGGGAAGTTGAATGGCGAGGTGACGGTTGGGACGAGGGCTGAGCCTGATGCTGGTGCCTGTAGCGTTGATGCTGATGCTGATAGTGACAGCGAGTGTGACGCTGAAGCTGAGGCTGAAGCTGAGGCCGATGGCTCAAGATGCGACTCTTGATATGCTGGCGGTTGTGATGCTTCAAAAGGAATCACCTCTTGGGGCAGATCTGGTGCAAATGCACTGCTTGTGGCATCGCTGTTGTTGCTGCCCTTGGCCTGTTTGTTATCTGAGCCGCTCCCACTGCCTTTCTCCATGGCTGGTGATGAATCAATCTGGTTTTTTTCCGATCAACGATGACTATGTCGCAATTCAATTGGGATTCTTCACCGCGATTATACAGATTCCACCGTCGAGAGAGTGTATTGCGGTCTGCTATATCACGTCATAAAAGCGTCGCGATACAAGGCAGTATAAATACAGCGTGTTGCTGGACTACGAGCTAGGGTAGCACTTGCGTAGCTCTAGCGGCTGCGCCACGGATGCCTCGCGGGAAAATGTCGGCTCATGCCGTCTAGCCCACATTGTTTCGTTTTCGGTTGAGTTTTCAGCCTTGAAGGATTGGCATCCTGAAGGCTGAGAGCCTGCTAGGGAATGCTTCAGATTGCGCGGCCATTCTGGTCCTGGATAGCGGTTTGCGGCGCGGGGGGAGCTGACGTTGAATGGAGTGGCTTTTGTAGAGGCCCGAGTCATGGATGTTTCGCGAATGAAGCGTCATCGATACCGAATATTTGCCTGTCAGCATTCATCTTGGCGTGCTGCACTCGGCGCATGGTTCCTTCACGTTAGTACATGAACAGCAATGCGAACAGCAATACCTGTCTGTAAAGGATGTTCATACCGTCCTGCTATAGACTGCTTGCAAGGAGCAGCCTTTGTTATATACTGCCTGGTGGGGCGACCATTATTTCTCCAACCTGGTCCTGTTCCCGCACTAACACAGCAGCTTGTATGGCAACACTAGGTATCGTGCAGATGGCAGTACTTGCACTCTACTGCCCTTCATTGCTGGTGGCTAGCACTTGGTATCTAGATATATACCAGGTACTGCGATAATTGTTCCGATAAAATGCCCAAGTACCTATTCTGGAATTACCAAGTATTACAGATGCAAGCTGCGTGTACCTCCAATAGTAGAGTCCCCACTCACCGAATACACTATTCCCGTATAGGAATTTGCATCTCAGCGTCCGGCTTACTATTGGCCACCCCCGGATCATCCAACGTCTGTCCATCCCGGCAGCTTCAACTCCCCTCCGTCGCCCCCGTGAATGTCTCTCGAGCAATACTCTCGGGAGCTTTTACCCCAAAGATGAATATGCGCTTCTAATTGGACAGAGTCTACTCTCCTGATATCCCCAATACTTGAGACAATCAGCCTTGACCCCGTCCTGCCTCCGTTATATCCACTCTCTATACACTAGGTCCGAGGTTACTTTTCCCATCTCCCCTATTATTAAGATAGAAAACGAATCTAGTCATGGCCATGGTCGGGGAATTCAACGACGATGAAGATGGCCGTTGGACTGATAGTGGCTCGTTGAACCATCCCATCATCAACTCCAAGCCCCTAACTGTTCTGCCATCACGTTCTCGTCCTAATCGCTCCTCAACCGCCGCCTCCGCCAGAACCGCAGCCACCACCATACCGAGGACGCCAGTAGTTAACCTTCAATTCATCAACACAGCTTATCCCGGCGATTCCACAACGGCAAAGCGCATCAGCCAGATCCGATCTCATGTAGCCAAGGACTCCCACGCCCGCCGCCGCCAACGCAAGGCTGCCCAAGCAGGGGCAAGTACTGCCACCACCAGTAGCAGCAAGGGGAACAATAACATCATTCTCTATTCATCAGCATCTTCCTCGCCGCCCTATGTATTAGCTGCGGACGATGCCGCCCAAACCGACGAATCATACTCCACTTCTGCGAGTCCAGATGGCCTGCAACACCCACACCAGGCCTGGCATTCATCTACAAATACCGGATTGGGACACAAGGGGTTTCGGAGAATTGCCCCGAAAGAAGGCGCTATGGTGCCGAGGGTGGCTTCGCCTGGCCCGAGGCAGATGATTGGCGACACGATGAAAGATGCGTGGAACGGACAATTTGCCTGGGAGCTGTCAGTTGAGGATTACGGCATCTTTAATTACTGTAAGTCGACGTGTCTTCTCCCATCTTTGTAAAGGCACATGTATTACCTACTGGTACTCTTACGGGAATCTCCTACCTCATCTCTTCCTCCCATCTTGTGCGGATCTTGCCGATCATACTTAGCTGCAGAGTGCCCGAGGAGTGTACTTTGGCTGCTAGGACATGTATACTACAGCGATTGTATGCACAAGCAGGGGGACCTGTACCTCTTTTCACATACCACTATTGATCCGACGCAATCACCATGTGCACATTCTGTCCTTGTCCATACTAATCGCCGCCACCAGATCTGGAATGGGTCCTCAAGTATGGCTATGCGGCTTGCTTCCCTCCCGGCCAGGGCATCCTCGTAGAGAAGCGCCTGAGGTCGACCTACGTCCCCTTTGCCATGAGAAACGCTGGTCTTCTAACTCTGATTCTATACGTCGCCTACCACCGGCGCGCCATGAACACAGATGACCTGGACGAGGCAATCAAATGTAACCGCATGGTGGAGCGCTATCGGTTGGCTTGTATAGAGTGGATCAGGCATGCCGTCTCTGTGGAGAAGAGGCCGTCTATCGAGACTGTGGCCATGGCCCTGATACTGAGCTCAGAGGCGGTAAGCCTTTCTTTTTTTTTCTCTTCTTCTTTGTCTTTTCTTTTGTCCTTGTTTTTGAAATGTCACTGCATAGCAGCAGCTAATCCTTTCCCCGTCTCGTAGTTCTTTGAAGCCAACCTCGACACATCGCTCACCCATGCCCAAGCTGCGAGAACCATGGTGTCGGCAAGGGGCGGCCTCGAGTCGTTTGGCAAAACGGGCATCGATGGCCTCATCGGCTTTCTGCTAAGAACATCTGTGTATTGCGGCAACTACTTTTACGTTCCGGGGTGCGCTCCTGTTCCCGTTCCTCTCCCTGCAGAGTAAGGATTAAAAGGCAAAGTATTGTTCAATTGAAACTTGCATCAGATTGTAATATGTACCTATATGCTTGTATCTAGGCTTCGAGGCGTTATACATGGCGTTTTAAAATTATATACAGGAATTTGCTTCACATCACGTCATGCTATCTTCGTATGTATGCTTGATATCGTTTTGCCCTCTGCTCTTCCTTCGCCGGGGTATCAAATCATGCTCAAAATCTCCCCTGACTCGTACCCCCATTCTGCCTCCAGGTCTTTTAGCCGCCAAATGGCGCCCCATCCCGTTGTCCTATCGATAATCTTGAATATCCTCGCAACTTCCAGATGCTCTCTCGGATGCGTCAGCAGCCTGCCCGCAATGTACAGCGGCTGAATGGCATTTATGAGATTGCCGCGGTGCGGATTCGTCCACGAGATACCGCAGACCCTCTGCGCGTGCCAGATGGCCGAGTATTCGAGCGTGTTGGGCAGCGCCTCGCCTGGCGGCCGCATCTCCAGCATGACGATGCACGCCGCGTGGTAGAGCTGGTTGCTGGAAATGGCCGCCCAGTGGGCAAACAGGATCACGGGGAAGATCTGGTTCTCGCTCGGCTCCGTCGTCATGATGGGCAGCAGGCACTTGGGCCGCGTGTCACGCCAGAACTGCAGCTCCGACCACAGCCGATGCCAGCGGTCGACGAGGGGCCGGTCGTCGGACTCGTCGGCCTCACCGAGCTCGAGCAGCCTCACCTGGCGGTACGTGAGGTCGCAGGCCTTTGCGCAGAGATAGACGGCCCAGTTGGCGTGCATGTCGGGCGTCTCGCGGCCCTTTTGGTAGAAGATGCTCTTGACAAAGTCCTCGGCCTGGGCCCGCGTGGTGCCGATGCCCTCGGGCACGGCCGGCACCCACTTGTCGAGGCTCAGCACCGTGCTCTCGGCGCCGCCTGAGATGATGGCGCCGCAGAGCTCCATGCGCGCGTAGCACCAGAAGACGGCCTGCAGGAGGCCCCCCGAGAAGCCGGTGACTTCGTAAAAGGCAAAGAGTGAAGCGCAGCCCTCGATGTGGCGTCGCCAGTTGCGGGGGCTGCCGGACATGAGCTCGAGGACGGCGAGGATGCAGGCCGTGACGAGCATGTTGGGATCCTTGGCCTGCAGCCCTGGAGCCAGCAGCCTGATGCTCTCTTGGTACAGCTCGAGGCTGTCGTAGCTCTTTTCTAGACACGCCTTTCTCTCCATCTGCCGTGCTGAAAAGGCGAGCACTGCGTAGAACAGGCCGGGCGAGCTCTGAGCCAATAGGGGCACCTGGATGCCAAAGTGCCGTGCCTCATCAAACTTGTCCAGGTACGGCGAGCATTCAATGACCCAGTTCTTGAGGTACTTGACCAGCCTCATCTTGGGTATCGAGACTCTTGAGAAGTCGAGGCTTTTTGACGACGGCACGGGGGTCCGTTCAGGGTCATCGGCCTCATCAGACGCCGGCTCAGGCGTTGCGCTCTTGCTGGGGTCGAGACTTACGCCTGCAAACAACAGGCCTCGCAGCTCCTCTTGAAGCTCGATATATCTGGGATTGGCGGCGTATTCATCAAAGGGCGAGAGCGAGGTCGGGGACATGAAGGCGTCCCCGTCAACCTGGCTAGCATTGGGGTCGTCCATTATCATCAGCCATGGGAAACTGAACAGCGCTGTCTGTGCTTGCCGGATCTACACTGCCAAAAAACCTGGTCTGATATCGAGCCGGTCCCTGGTTTCAATTTTTTTTTGTTAAACACAAGAGATCGATCTCTGCTCTGGCCGAAGACAAAAAGGACCCGCCGCTAAGCAGCATGCATGGCAATTGTAGTACTAGTAGTAATAGTATTAGACGAAACTATTGCTGATCCCACCTCGTATCACTTTAATTTCGAAAAACAATAGATTCAGAGAGGAAATCTCTGGCTCTCCGCGTGAAAAGAAAAATTTGGGGAAATTCGGGGGAATCGCTCAAGTGGAACCGACAAAGAGATGCCCGCTCTATGCATTGATTGCATCTGGGCCTTGCTTGATCGATCAACTTTCTCCGCATCTGCAGCAACAAATCCGGGACGCCACCGCCGTGAGGACGGAAAACCAGCATCAACGCGGTTTAGCTCAATTTCCCCGGCCAAACACTAATCAGCAAGGGAACAAGGAAGAAAAGTCATACGAAAGAGAACTGCTCGTATGTTTTACGTGTTTAGTCGGCGGCCGGCACATGACAGCCCGAGTCAGTCAACCCATCCTTGTCAGCACATGGCAAAAGAAGCCGTCAGTAGAGCCAAGCCAAGTCGAAGAGAAGAGCGCCGCGTGTAGGCTACATTGCCGCAAACAGGATAGACTGCCCCGGTGGAGAAACGGCGTCCTTTAGCCGCCTTACAGGAGGGTATCCAAGTCAAAGAATGAGAGAATCGATACGCGGACAACAGCCGAGGGCGTCGTGGAGGCCAATCGGGTCCTTTTTCGGTACTCGCTGTGGCGGTGATGCTATTCCCAAAGCAGGGGGCAGAGCCTACGAACCCCCTCAGATTTCACCCAGATTTCGCCCGCGAAGACGCTCTCTTCCCATCAAGGACAAGAATGCACAAAACTTGCCAGCTTCTTTCCCCCACCGCGGGTGTAGGTCTCCACCGAATGAACCCGGGGACATGATTCGTATGGCTGGGGGGGGAAGGCTCCAGATTTTTTCTGTAAACCACGAGGGAGCAGTCAGTCTAAATAATGGAAACATGGGGTTGAAAATCTGGAGTAAGAATCCCAGCTGGAGGGTTGCATTTAAATGCTGGGGTTCTCCCACTTGCTTCTGATCTTCGCCTCTCTCTCCATCAGCTTTGACTGAACATCTTCTCTCTCTCTCTTTTGCCCGGCACATCGTCTGTGTGGGGTTGCAACTGGAACAGACTCCTCGATTTCAACATGTCCACTGGATCGGAGGATATTGAGGTTGCTGCCAATGGCGGCCTGGCCGTGGAGCCAGCTCGACGTGTCAATGAAGCCCAGAAGACCATGTGGCAGTCGCTTAGACACAACCCCAAGGTCCTTTTCATTGCCTTTTTTGCTTCGTATGTGCCTTGAATCTGTTTCCTTTTCAACTTGATTTACAGGAACATTACTAACAAGTTTGTGCTCAACATACAGACTGGGTGGCTTCGAATATGGCTACCAGCAGGGCGTCTTGGGCCAATCCCTGGTCATGACTCGCTTCAAGGAAAACTTTCCTGCCGTTGTCAACTCCTCTTCAGCGACAGGCTGGTTGACATCCGTTCTCCAGCTCGGCGGTATCGTCGGCTCTCTATCCGCCGGTGTGCTGGGCGAGATCATCTCCCGCAAGTACACAATGTTCATTGCCTGTCTCTGGGTCATCCTGGGCAGCTACCTCTACGTCGGTGCCCACGAGGGCATGTCCTCCCTTCTATATGCTGGCCGATTCTTCACCGGTCTCGGTGTCGGCCTCTTCAGCGGCGTCGGTCCCCTTTACAACGCTGAGCTTTCCGCTCCCGAGATGCGAGGACTGTTGGTTTCTTTCTATCAGTTCGCCACCATTCTCGGAATCATGCTTTCTTTCTGGGTCGGATACTGCAGCAACTTCATTGGCGGAACCGGCGAGACCCAGTCCAACCTTGCTTGGAGACTGCCCTCCATCATCCAGGGAATCCCCGCAGTCCTTCTTGCCATTGGCATTTGGTTCATGCCCTTTTCTCCCAGATGGCTTGTCAAGGTCGGCCGAGACGAAGAGGCCAAGAAGACCATGGCTTGGATGCGAAAGCTGCCCGAGGACGACGAGCTTGTCCAGATCGAGTTCCTCGAGGTCAAGGCCGAGAGTGTCTTTGAGAGACGCGTCTTTGCACGAGACTTCCCCAACCTGGCGGCCAAGAAGAAGAGCGCCTTTATTGAGCAGTTTGCCCAGTATGCCAGCTGCTTCAACTCCAAGGATAACATTAAGCGAGTCTTGACTGGTTTCTTCATCATGTTTTTCCAGCAGTGGAGTGGAATCGACGCAAGTAAGTTTTGCCATATCCATACCTAAGTACGAGTTGAAAAGAGCTTAAGCTGACTATCCTCTAGTTATTTACTATGCGACCAACATCTTCATCACCCTGGGTTTGACGGGAGGCACAACAGCTCTGTTGGCAACTGGTGTCACTGGTGTCGTCTTCATTGTTAGCACCGTGCCTGCGATGGTAAGTTGTCGCCAGAATTTGCCACTCTTCAATAGCTGGTAAACTAACTTGATAATCCGCAGTTGATTATTGACAAAGTCGGTCGAAAGCCCATGCTTATTGTTGGCTCAATTGTCATGGCCGTCAGCATGATCATTGTCGGTATAATCGTTGCCAAGTTCCGCCACGATTGGCCCAATCACGTCGCTGCTGGCTGGGTTGCTGTTGGTAAGTAATTGTCGAAAATGATCTACTTGGAATATATTTCCCTAACAAGACTTCTTATAGCTCTTATCTGGGTGTACATTGCCGGTTTCGGCGCTACTTGGGGACCCGTGTCCTGGACTCTCGTGTCCGAGATTTTCCCTCTCTCTATCCGCGCCAAAGGTGCTTCCATCGGAGCCATGAGCAACTGGCTCAACAACTTCGCCATTGCCTTCTTCGTGCCTCCCATGCTTTCGGCCTGGGCTTGGGGCACCTACATTTTCTTCTCCGTCTTCCTCATTGCTGGCATCTTTGCTGTCTGGTTCTTCCTCCCCGAGACGAAGAACGCAACCTTGGAAGATATGGACCGAGTGTTCAAGAGCCGTACCGGCGAGAGAGATGCACAGCTCCTGAGAGAGGTCCAGGAAGAAGTTGGCCTTGTTGCACTCGTTGAAGCTTACACAGCAGGCTCGTACGAGAAGAAGGATATCCACGAGTCACAGATTGAGAAGCTGTAAGCAAGACAGCAGATGGAATGGAGATTGTGTGTGTTTTGGCAGTAATGAATGTTACGGAGTACTAATAACCATGACGATTTTGGACGCAATTGCCTTTGTTTTGAGGGTCTGTTTTTCGAAAAGAAAAAATCCAGTTGCAAAATAGGAGAAGAATAGGAGAAGAATAGGAGTAACAATATACCCACGACAAATAATTACTTAATAAGTAACTTGCAAGCCCGTTGTTTTTGTGATAGTTCCAAGCCAAGGCTACGCCACACTGGGGATAAACCAATGCACAATTAACGGGGCACCCCGTGAAGTCTGCAGCGCACTAGCGGGGCGCTAGAATATTTCGCTTTCTGCTGAATCTTGTACGCGGAGCCCCAGAAGCTGTCAGCGCGGCAAACTTGACCCTTAACCTCATCCAATCCACGGCCAACTATTTGCATTTTGAAGGCTCATATCACGTTGTTCTGCGTTTCTTATTCGTCAGTGGTGAGGTGGATGAATGGCCTCCATGTATCATGCGCTTGTAGCAGAGTGATCCCGTGTACTCGGAATCAGTCCAATGCCTGTCATTCGGAACATCCCAGACACTAAGAGGAGGGTCCGGACGGGATGCCTCTCATGTCGCAAACGCAGGCGGAAATGTATGTCCATGCTCAATATCTTCCAATCACTTACACGGTTTCTTCACTTTAATATTTCTCTGAGTAACGACTTGCACTATTTGGCGGAGGCCATCGATGGTTAATACGCCGTGAGTTAACCGCTAACTGAGCATCTATAGGTGATGAACGCAAGCCGCGATGCAGCAGCTGTGAAGAGAGGAACGTTCCTTGTACTTATCCTGACCTGACGTTTATAATGGGTCCGAAACTCGGTGCTGCTCAAGGAACAAACAGTCCCTCTTCGGATCAACCCTCGCGGCCTTATTCGAACGTCAGGGTGAGTTAGCCATCACTCTGTACCATGATCACTTCTCCAATGATCCGCAAATGATGGAAATCAACTAACAACAGACGCTACAAGTTTGTAAACGGCGCTTCGTCAAGGCGTTCGGCCCCATCGACTGAAGCAGCACAAGCATCCATCCAGCATAAAGAGCCGCCGGTGCTCATTGAAGGAAAAGAGCCGGAACTACCTCTCAGGCCTGAGGACGATATTATGGACTCTCTTATGACCAGATCAAGCTCGCAATCCAAGACGGCCTCCCCATTTACGGCCTCGCACTTACCGCAAGCCGAGTGGAAGGATTATTTTTCTCCCACCCATGCTGCCTCTATCAAAAACGAGACTGCTGCTCTGCTGCACTTCCAGTACAACCTCGCGCCTTGGATCGAAGCAGGCGATCTAGGATCTTCTTTCGGAACCGAGATTATGCTCCTCGCACAGAGACGACGACCCGTGTCGTCTGCTATCTCGCTGGCTGCTTCCAGTCAATTAGCCAAGTCTACTTCAACCTATGGGGATTTGGCAGTGCTCCAGCAAGAGACGGAAATTGCTCTTGCTCTTGAAGAGCCACGAGTGAGGCGGATTGGACACGCGCTACTCGCGGTGGGCAAAGTATTCAATATCAGTCCTTCTCGGTGGAGAACGCTATCTTTCTTCCAGTCGGATGAATCCACGAGAAACACCAACAACTTTTCGGGATTTGGAGAGCCGCTGGAAACTCTACTGAGGTTCCATTCCAGACTCGGTGAGTAATGCCATAATAGCCAGTACATCTCATGTAAGAGTATTTTGAAAAAAAAAAGGAGATTTTGGCTAACATACTCTCTTTTCTTCCTATACAGACCTCGCAGCGTCACTATTGACAGATCAGCCGCCGCTTACAACTCTGGGATTCGCCATGAATCACGATCCAGCAGACCGCACTCTCCCATTGTCAACAAAATCTATCCACAACGCTTGTCTACTTCAACTCGCCAGCTGTCTTCAACTGCTACACGGCAGCAACAACAGCAGCAGTATCGCTTCCCCCTCACCGCCCTTCTTTATGTCAGCAACTCAAGAACCGTTGCCGCCGAGCCCAGGCTCGTATTTTTCATCAAAATGGTCTTCTTTATGGTCAAACTGCCAACAATGGTATCACAGTCGCCCGCTTGAAATGCAGCCTATTCTAGAAATCCGCAGTGTTGAGGCAGGCCAAATCGACGCTGATAACGAGTCCTCGTTCCCAATCCCCGTCTATACAAGCTCGATTGCTCTGCAGTGCAACATTGTCTATCACATCTCGTCACGCCTTCTTCTATCTCGCAAACCTCGACTTTTGCGACTGTCTAGTCGCCAGCGTCATCTGTCATCGCTGAGCTGGCACGCGCAGCAAATTGCGGGAACGGCAACGCGCAACGAGTTTGCAGAGCAGTGGGACCCTATTCTCATTGCCGGGCTGTTGTGGATCGCCAGGGACATGACGCATCCGTCGCAGCAAGAGTCGCTCTTGTCCTGCTTCAGCCAGATATCATCCAGCACAGGAATCAACTTGGATGAGGAAATTCGCCTGCTGAAGGCTAGGTGGAATGTGTCACATGTGAGGGGCCATCAGCTCTCTGGCTGACATGCTTACCACGGCGGATTAGCACGACATACCCCTAAATCTCACCTCCAAAGGATCGTTTCCGTGAAAAAAGGCATGCAACAATACCAAAATCATCCTCGTGCAGCGATGACTCAACAATGCTACCTACATGCACCTTTTACTCCATGGAGCACCAAATCAGGATGGCCACGCGCAATAGCGGCTTCTACCCCACACGCTAAACCTCGGTTCGTCGGATCAAGATCCTCATCTCACCTCCCTTCTCTGTCATGAGATTCTAAACCCGCGATCCTGTTATAAATGACAAATCTACCTCAGATTGAAGATGCCCCATTTATGAAACCTTAACAGAACTCATCCACTCCCGCTGCAATCATGGCGGCCAAGGCTTCAGCTCCCCCATTGAAGGGTATCAAAGTCTTGGAATTTGCCGGTCTTGCTCCTGGTAAGCACTTTTCCCCATCCGCCTTTCGCCTTTTAATACTTCATGCATCTCATCATTACTCGCCTTTCACATTCAATCCTCATATCTGCTTCAAATAAATAACTAACATTTCCTAGGCCCATACGCAGGCCTCATCCTCGCCGATGCAGGCGCTTCAGTCCTCCGGGTCGACAGACCTCCTTCACCCCGCTCCAAAGGCGAAATATCCATTCCCGATGTGCTCGCTCGCAACAAGTCCTCCATCGTCATAGACCTTAAGGACCCTCGCGGCATAGCCCTCATCAAGCGTCTCGCAAAGCATGTCGACGTCCTCATTGACCCATTCCGACCGGGTGTGCTAGAGAAACTGGGCCTCGGGCCAGATGAGCTGCTTGCCATCAACCCGCGCCTTGTATACGGCCGCATGACTGGATTCCGCCGCGACGGCAAATACGCCGACATGGCCGGCCACGACATCAACTACCTGGCCGCATCTGGCGTCCTCGCTCTGCTTGGACGATCAGGCGAGAAGCCCCTCGCCCCGTGGAATATTCTCGCCGACTTTGCGGGCGGAGGCGCCACGCTTGCCCAAGGCGTGCTCCTCGCCATCATCTCGCGCTTCTCCACGGGCAAAGGCCAAGTCGTCGAGGCCAACATGATCGACGGCAGTTCCCATCTCGCATCCTTCCCCCGCATGTACCTCAAGACCCCCCTAGGCGACCAACCGCGCGGCAAAAACGTCCTCGACGGCGGCCGTCCGTTCTACGACACCTACGAGACGTCCGACGGCGAATACATGTCCGTCGGCGCTCTCGAGCCCCAGTTCTTCCAAGCCCTCATCAAGGGCCTCGGCCTAGAAGGACAAGGCTGGGAAACAAAGCGTCACGACCCTTCTGCCTGGCCACAGCTCTACGATCTCTTCACCAAGACATTCAAGAGCAAGACGCGCTCGCAGTGGGAAGCCGTTTTCGACGGCACGGATGCGTGCTGCGTCCCCGTGCTGCATTACAGCGAGCTAGAGACGCAGCCCGATAGGGAGGGCGACCAGAGGCCGGCGGTAACGCTGAGAGATACACCGTTGTACTCGCCGGCTGATGCAGAGGGGAAGGGGTATGTGGCAGAAGCTTTGGTCCCAGGCCGAGGGGCAGAAGACGTTTTGCGGGAGTGGGTTGGATGGAAGAATGGAGATGAGTACGAGTTGGAGAAGGGAGCAGCTGTGCTCAAATACAAAGGCGAGAACTCCAAGCTATGACAATAGCCTTGAGATTGTATATCAATACAGATCTATACGACGTTTACGAATACTGCTGCATCCAGATAGCCTAATAGTTACGATATCGTCATTAAAGCCATACACATTCACATGAAATAATCACATCGATGGCTACTCCCGATTTCACATCAAAAATAAATTGTTATTCTAATCTGGTCATGCTGTAAGCCTAAAAAAAGGGAAAAAATTGAAGAGAAGAAACGAGAATAAGTAACCCCTTTTCCCTCAACAAAAACATAAAAGCAGGCCCCCCCTTTCCCCAGCCCAACCCGACCACCCAAAAAAGAGCAGCTCTACTTTCTCCAAATACTCCGCTTATCCGACGAGTTTTAAAACCTTTGATATCCCACACTTTGCCAAACCCCTCCAAGCTCTTCGCTCTCGTTTCTCTCTCCGGACTCATTACTCATTTACTCTAGCCTCCGGAACAGCCGATGGTATCGAAAAAGGAAGAAAATAAAAGGGAGGAAAGGGGTTTAGGAAAAAGGGGGGAGAGGAGGGAGGAGGAGGAGGAGGAGGGGAGCGAGTTTCATCATGCCTCATTGCATCTCATAAGCCGTAAAGTCGCCTGGTCCACACGATCGTCTAAACATAATCACAATCTAGAAAATGGCGCGTCTCGCAAGTTGTCTCTCTACTGCACTTGGCTGACAATCTCGTTAGCTTTGCCAAGGGATTCAACCATCTGCTGACACTCTTTCCGCCTGCGGATGGTGAAGTCGCTTTCCTTGAGCAAGTCGTCGATGCTGTCGTTCTTGTACATGTTCTCTAGCAATTCTCGCTGCATGCCATCTTTTGTGAGCCTGCAAGTCAAAATAGTTAGCATCTTTCTAATTTTCAACTTCTCATTTGGGCGACATACTGGACAAGATTGAACATGATGGCCTTGGGAACCATGTCAGCCATGGTTCGCTTGACAATGTTGTAGTAGGATGAGATGAGCAACTCTGTTCATCGTTAGCATACGCACGGAAGCCTCGATTGGCTGTATATATTGTGCTTACTGATAACCTCAACTTCAATCACCTCACGCTCTGATAGAGTGCCTGAAGCCTTGAGGGTTGGTGGCGGCGGCTCCATCGATGCGGCCTTCTTCTTGTTCTTCGCGGCGAAAAAGCTTCCAAAGAATCCTCCATTGGCGCTTGGATCAGTCTCTGGGACTGTTGGGCTGCCAGCTCGGCCAGGAGTGCCAGTCAGTGGCTTGCCGGTCTTGGGGTCCACCTGAACAGGCTTTGGGTTGTGACGCTCATTGACAATGGCCATAGCCTAGAGGTACATCTCAGGTTAGATCGATTTCATACACCAAAGGGAATAGACAAAAAATAAAAAGGAAGAAGAAGATACATACGCGGTGGCCGTTCAAAAAGTCAGGATGAGCTGTGTTAATGTAGCACGCCTCCATGGAGACCAAATCTCGGACGAGCTTGTTGGTAGGCTCCATGGCCTTCTTGAAGAAAGAAACAACGGTGCTGTGCATCTTCTCCTTCAGTGAAGGATACCGGCGGTAGAGCTGCTTGGAGAGCAGCTGTGACAGAATTCGCACCAACTCGTCGTAAACCAGCGACACGCACTTTAGACTGGGGTCTTCCATTCGCTTGATCTGCTGCTTGACAATAAGCTCAAAAGCCGTCGTGCCGACAAACAGTGCGGGAGAAGGACCAGATGAGTTGTACAGGTAGGTTCGGATATCAAGATCCTTGACAACGTCAAACGGATCGAGGGCCTTGACACCGTTGGAGTAGAGTTCATGGAAAACGAAGCTGATACGGGCACCACCAGACAGTTCGCTGCTGGAGAGCTCAGTGTTGTTGCCGTCCAAAACTGTGCGCCATTCGTTGGTGAACTCGGTAATGACGTTCAGGACAATGTTGGAGCTGTTGCCAAGCATCGAGGGGCCCAAGCTTTCCAACTCGGCACTGTACTTTTGCAGGGAGCTCGAAATTCGCGCCTTGATATCCGGAAGTGTCTGCTTGATATGCATCATCAGGATGAGGTTGAGTTTGCGAGCAAGGTAGGGAGTGCCGCAGTAGGAGCTCTTGTTGCGGTATGCGTTGTGGTTGTCGAAATAGTTCTTCTCTGCCTCCAGGGCGGCGCCAATGGCCTTTTTGTTATCAATGTCTCGCTGTCCTCGGTTGACCACGGGAACGTAGCCCAGACGCAGCGGAATGATACGGTTGGACAAAATGTCAATGACGTCGGTGCCCTCTTCCATCAAATCGACCTTGGTGAGAACACCAATGGTTCGCTGACCCTCGGGGTCAACCTCGCGTGCCAGCTTCAAGCCATCGGAGTTGGCCAGATCGATGTTGGCGGCCGTGACAGCCAAGATGATGGCATTTGACTTTGAGATGTACTTGAGAACCATGTCGCGGATCTGGCGCTCAATATCACGGGGCTGGTCACCAACGGGAACCTTTGTCAGACCTGGCAAATCAACCAAGGTCAAGGTCAGGACGTTGGGGGAGTAGATGCGCAAGTTGATGGGGGCTGGGGAGATTCCCGCATTTCGTCCGACCTTGGCCTCGGTTTCTCTGGAAATTTCGTCTCTGATTTTTCCAAAGTCGTAGAATTTCTGTCCAGGCAAGTGAAGGAACTCGCCCCACTCGTCTACGTTGGCGGCTTTGTCGTTGCCAGCTTCGATTTCATCATGGCTGACGCCGTTTGTCTGGGCGGGGCGGTTGATGAGTTGAAGAACGAGAGGACGACGCGTGACAATACCGGTACCTCGGGGGAGGCTGCAGCGCAAAAATTTAGCATCAGTCTTGTCTCGAAACGATGAAGTAGAGAAAAGAAAAGCAAAAGAACAAGTAGCCGCGGTAAGTAAGGGGGCTGAGAGGCTTGCTCCGTAGCGGTACTCACAAGTCACGGCCGACGATGTTCTCCAGCACCGAACTCTTGCCGCTGGACTGACTGCCGACGACGGCGATCTGGGGGAGATCAATGGGGTTGTTGACGCCGACGGTTGCGAAAACATCCTGAAGCTTGTTGACGAGCCTAACGGTGAAGATTCCTGGTCAGTAACAGAAGCCACAGCAGCAGCAGCAGCAGCAGCAGCAGCACGAGCTCAGCGGCAGACACTCACTGGATCAGGGCGGGATCGGTAATGCCTCCCGACTGGGCGAGTGAAGACCCGGGCGTGCTCATGGTCGCGCTGGTGTTTGTGGGTTGTTGGAGCGTAGTTGAGAGGTTGAGAAGAGTTGCGGTCGAGTTGCTAAAGGGGGTTTATCGCGAAGATCGCAGCGGTCGATCAAGTGGCGGGGTGGCCTTGCTGATAAGTGCGGGAGAGACGGTGAGAGCGCAGCGAGGCCGCAGCCGGGTCGATGTTTCTGCACAGAACGACGAGACTCGCGCACACGGAGCTTGCGGCAGATGGTATCCTGAAATTCGCAGAAATGGCGGAGCGCCGCTACCAAGCAAAAGGCTGGACAGAGATGCGAGTTTATGGGTTTGGATGGAGATTAGGAGGGACTTCGCAGGAGAGCCTGAACAAGGGAACGGCGCTAGGCGGCTTTGGGCCGGTGCCCTGGCCGTCCAGCCACACGTGGCGATGCGCCCGCGGGAGGAGCGCAGCTGCAATGGCTGAACGGGTCTGGGCGTGAGGCTGGTGGCTCCAAAACAATAGGTAGCCAGGCCCTTTGGCCCTCCAGCACAGCGGCCTAGCAGGGGTCGACGTCACTGGATGATGTGGACAAACCGCGAGGCGCCACATTGAACTCTGTGACTGCCATGGCTTCCGTTAGCAGAGAAAATTTTCTGATTCTTGCAGACAGACATTCAGTCACCGTCGCATTTGGCGTCAGGCAGCGGGTATCGGCGCCGTGGCCTGTCACGAGCCAGCCAATCGATGCCATCCTACGGGTGCGTTCCAAGACAGGCCGCGTGGTATCAGGTATCATCGATTCACCACCAGACGGCCTGAATGTCCACAAGGCTGACAGGCCGCATGAACGCTCCATGTTGAATTACTCATAGTGGTACTTGCTAGGAAAGAACCATATAGACAGTTGATCAACTTGGCAGCATTTAAACAAGTTATGTATCTTAGGATAGAAGGCCGTTCAGAGTCTTTTCCCTCGCTGTTCACTACGCCTAGAGTTACAGCATCTCAGTTGGGAGTTACATAATTGTTTTCCATCCGCCACAAGTGGAAATCTACTTGGCCGTGTAATATCTAGCTCAGCCGCTATGGACAGTAAATGTCAGATCACCTCGGTCCAGTCCGCCATTAGCACCCAACGAGGCCTTGACTCTTATTAGGTACCATTTGTGCCCAGCTGCCTTACCGATGTATCAAGCCATAATCTGTGGTGGTATCTTGGTTAGTTGAAAAGCTAGTTGTCCAATACTCATTAGTATTTCTCTAGTAGGGAGTTATCAACAAGGGTACCTTTTTTTCCATCCATTTCTTTCCAACTGCAATTGGTGGAGTTTCATGTATGTGCTCCAATACGGCTGCGGATCCTGCATGAACACCACTCGGATCAGCGCTTTCTCAGGGTCCTTCCAAGCTGGGGAGGCCGGATTTGGAGCCACTATACTCCGTAGGGTCCCGAAATATGCCGTGTGCAGCTGCATACTTGCAGCCCAACCAGCGTTGACCTTGTCCTGTGGCCTGCAATCGGGAAAGCCGATAGAGATGGACGCCTAAATGGATCCGTACAAATGCCCCCAAGCTGGCCAAGCAAATCACGAAAAAGACATCATGGCTTTCGCTTGAGTAATCATGAACTGGCTCAAAACACCACATCTGAGTATTCCATTTATAACCAAGAGAATAAGAAATAAAGTTGAAATTGTTCACGATGATATGCATGTAATGGTAAATCTGATACTTGAAGATCAACAGCAAGAGGTCAATTTAAGAGATAGCTATAGTAATTTCTGAAAATCTCTTCGGAAAGCTCATGTAGGTAATATGCATCATAGCTTTGCTTGATACCACCTCAAATCCCATAATCTAGCAAATTGAAAGAAAGCAAAATTGAACCATCCCAACTCCGTTTTCGAAAACCTCTGAGGCCCACCATAGGCAATAGTCATCTCGTCTGGATATATTCCATAAATAGGCCAACTTCAATAGAAAGTGGCAACCCAAGTATCTCGAGAGCACCGATAGCAAATAGTGAATAAGAAGAAAAAGAAAAAAAAAAAACTTTAGTAGTTCATGTCCTCGGAATCATCAAAGTTGATATTTGGCCAATTGATTGCCAAGCCCATGGTCGTATCTTGGTGAAAATTCCTCTCATTGCACTGCGCCTCAACGTGCTTCGCAAGCCCATCGATCGCTATTGAGGTTCTGTTGATCATTTCCTTCATGCGATGTATCATAACTTGGTCCCTCTCATCGAGAACGCCCTGATGTACTCTCCCTTGGCGGAACATGTTGTGGTATCTTTCCCAGCGTCTGTTCACGGTAAGACGAACCGACCCGTCTTCGCTCAAAGTCATAGTTGGGTTGGAAGACTGTCGGCTCATGTACCTGGTGAGTATCTCGACGTGCAATATCTGACAGTCGAGAGCTTTGATGGCCCGGATAACGGGCGCATCGGTCTCAAAGAAATCGACAAAAGTGAAACGGCCCGCTCCGGGCTCACCTCCCTCTTCATTCCAAAGAGGCGATACGCGAACGGTCAGCGTATGAATGTTACAAGTGTCGTCCCTGGACGCATCATCATGTTGCGTGGCAAAGAATCCAATTGCTTCAGCCATACTCTCTTGAGTTGCTTTCGAGTATCGATTGTGTTCTGCTTCAACAACAATTTTCCGAAATAGGTGCGCATATTTGTCGACATCGATGCGTTTCTCTCTGTGATTGCTACAGGAAAAGGAATCTTGTTCCTCGTCCTCGTATTCCGAGTCACTGTCGCTTTCACCGTCGTTAAATGGTTCATCATCTGTCGCCAGATTGAGAATTGCGCGCTGAGAGAAGATTGGATCGCGAAGAAGGTATACGAATACATTTTCTCCGTACAGCACAACGCAGGCCTCGTCGTGCACAATCTTGCATGTTCCAAGTATACTCATAGGCAAACTCAACTGGTTGCTCCTGTGAACTTGTCTCCATTGTCCGTGAACAGTGATTGGTTTGTCGCTGAGAAGCAGATGGCGATATATCTTCATCCTAATCTCTCTTGGAATGCCCATAAAAGTGGGCGGTGTCTTTCTCACCCAACACTCTAGAAGTTCTTCTTCATCAGATTCGTCTTCTGAGTCAACAAACTCTTGAGACAGCGGCACTTTTGGTAGCACATTCGATCTCCTGCACGTTCTCTTGCTGGGTCTTCCATTGTTACAAGCACGGTTATTCCCTTCGTTTTCTTCGTTCTCGTACCCGTAACGGTGGGTTGACTCCTCGGTAGTTGGGTCGGGAATAAATGGCGCAGGGGCTTTCAAAGTCTTTGGTATTACTTGTGGATGCTCAATGTTCAATTGCTCTTGTCGCTGCCGAAGTCGACTCCAGTGTCTCTTTCGTGGAAGGGCATTAATGCCGAGATAGTCCTCCTCGAGAGGAAGTTCCATATCCAGCCCATTGGGGCGCAAATAGTTGAGCTCATATTGTTCTCTCCGTCGCTGTACCTCAGCTTTAGCTTCCTTAAAGACTGCATCGCTGACAGATGTATCATCAGGGCCAGAGATATCCTTATGCTTCCTGCGGCGAGACGTCCTGTCGTTGGGCTCAATGGTATCAATCAGCTCCTCCAAATTGGGAAGATCCATTGTCAAACGTGTTGGTAGTGGAAGAAGAATAGGCACCAGTTGTGTTATGTGACAGATGATAGAAGATAATGAAAGAAGAGGAGATGGCAAGATGAGGATGAGAGGAAAGAGAAGGTAGAGAAGGAAGAGAGAGTCTATGCAATAAATTTATAGCTGTGCATCTCGTCTTCTTTGCCTGAGGCAATCCTCTTCGAGTGAGGAGTGACGGTGTGTAGAGCTGGTGTGTAGCTGGAGACAAGATAGACAAGGTTCGACATTCATATGTCCATGACCAAGACATGAGATGACAGATAGTGAAGGCATTATCAAGAAGCGCCGATAGTACCGGCAGTGGTTGCTATCACCTCCAATTACCAATCTTTACAGCCTTGTATAAGGAATTTACCATAGCTTTTCGCTGCTAAACTACAGATAGATTATGAGATATCAAATAGTGTTTGAGAATGTCTGCAGACAAGAAACACCGATTTTGTTTCCCCGTACTTATACATGAGTCATGATTGACAAGACTGGCGAGACCAGCTGAGGTTCGCCGCTTACACGTTTACTCGGCTGTAGTAATAGTATAATTCACACCAGTTTGCGTGAGAGATATTATATTTCGAACACTATAAATTAAAAAACCATACTAACATACTTTTATACTTTACGTATTCAATTGCTTTCCCAGCATTACATTTTTGCGGTGGAGCAGCGTTCATAAACCATTGATCTCCCTTTGGCTGCACATGTCAATCTCCCAAGTGTTATCACGGCAGCTAGAGATTGCTGCCATCAGTATCAGAGATACCTCCGCTGCCGCCAGCGCTAGCCGCCACCTCGTGAGTGCTGTAGCATAGCGCAGCTGGCAGCCACCGCAGCCGCCACTGGGCACCAGTCAAAGCCCATGACAGGCGCCATCCCCAGCGGAACCTTAATCTCTCGGAACTTCTACACTTCTTGAACCGCAACCCCTCTGACGACATTACTCATCCCGCACACGCAACGACTGCAACGACAGCTACTTTTGTCTGCTCGTTACCACGGCCACCGTTCTTCCAAAGGGCCTCGAATAAGCATTTCGGCTGCGTGTCTGCTGGGCAAGCGAACCCCCCAGACGCTGCGGCCAAGCTAGTCCCGCCTAGTTTCGTCACTGGCTGAGCTTCACGATCTGAACCGTCCAGGCCCAAACCTCGACTCCTGTGAATTGTCATATCCTCTGGCTCTTGGCCAGCCGCCTGCCGAGTCTCTTGCCATTATACCGCGGCCATCTGCCGCGGAGAGGTCGACGTGGACCAACTCTCCAACTCTCGTGCCCTCTCGGTTGACGCCTCCGACGGCCCAAGCCCTCCGCCAGCCTCTCGGAACTCCTCAGATACGTCTTTGGCACTCGACTCTCGCTCTGCTCCCCGGCCCGTCGATACTTCCGCGCGAGTGCCGGCTACTGCTGCGAATATAGCATCTTCGACAGCAAACCAATCTCCCTCGGCCTCTCCTCAGCCTCCTCCGCAGATCATAGGCCGACGACGACGACCATCGGCAGAATCTCAGCCAGAAGACGGGCCCCATATTGCCGTTCCTGCTGCGGACGCTGTGTCTGCCGCTGCAGACACAACTACCGGAAGGCAATCAAAACGAAGGCGGCGCGGCGGCGCAATCATGTCATCAGACGGGGACATGGCCGGGGCGTTTAATGGATTCGGAGCGACACAGTCAAACGGCTCTTTCGCCGCATCTACAGCGCATCGAGATGTAGTCTCTTCAATTTCCGCCAACGGCAACCGTAAGGCGAATGTTGTGACGAACGGATCGTCGAATGGCGAGAAACGATTGGCTTCGCACCCTCTTACATATTTCGGACACAATCGAGAGGAAGTCACGCGGATATTGATTCAGGCTCTGACAGACATGGGCTATCAGGCGGCAGCCGACAGTGTTGGGCAAGAGAGCGGCTACAGCTTAGAGAATCCTACCGTCGCGGCGTTTCGGTCGGCTGTGCTTGCTGGCTCCTGGGCAGAGGCCGAGGACCTATTAAACGGTGCAACAGCGCCAGATGAAGAAGGCGAGGGAGGAAACGGCCTTGTTCTCACAGCTGGCTCAGACAAGGATATAATGAGATTCTGGTTACGGCAGCAGAAGTTCCTAGAGCTACTCGAGCGTGGAGAAACATCCCGCGCCTTGACAATACTTCGCATGGACTTGACGCCCCTCTATCAAGATCCGGCCAAGCTTCGACTCCTATCAAGTTTGCTGATGTGCAGTTCTCCGGAAGAGGTTATGCAAAAGGCCAACTGGGATGGCGCCAATGGGCAGTCTCGAAGAAAACTGCTATCAGAACTATCTAGTATGATCTAGCCAATAGTTTCCCCCAAGTATTACGTCCTTTTATGCTAACTTACTCACTTTTTAGAACGCATATCACCGTCGGTTATGCTTCCAGAGAATCGCCTAGCTGTGCTTCTTCAGCACGTCAAGCAAAGCCAGATCGATACGTGCCTCTACCACACCGCAGCATCGTCTCCTTCATTGTATGCCGACCATCTTTGTGACCGACGGAATTTTCCTTCAGAGGTAGCGCTCGAACTGGGCGACTTTGGAGGCGAAATTTGGTCCGTCCGATTTTCTCACGACGGTACTCGCTTAGCTGCCTGTGGTAGCCGAGAGCACGTCAAGATATGGGATACACACACATTCTCCATCGTTAGTGTTCTCACAACTGGTGAACATACAGACGATAGAAGTAAAGGCATTTGTGACATCTCTTGGAGTCCCGACGACTCCATGATTATGGTCTGCTCTTTTGATAAACATGCTCGACTGTGGGACCCAAATGTAAGAAGAGAAACTCCATTCATACACAATGCATTTCACCCTTATTTCAAGTGCTGCTAACACTCGAGATCTAGACTAGCACCCTCATCAAAGATTTCAAAAAGTTTGATGAGCCGGTAAGCGGCTGTGTGTGGGCGCCAGACGGGAGATCATTTGTCTTGGGTACCTTGGATAAATTTCACGGCCTGTGTACCTTCAACGTATACGACGATGAGATGATCGAATGGGACAAAAAGCATAGGGTACAGGACCTTTGTGGATCTCCCGATGGGCGCTTGTTGGTGGTGGTAGATGACTTACAGCACATACACGTCTACGATGCCATTACGCGGGAGCTAGAGTACGATTTAGAACTAAAGGCCAGGCCAACGTCGGTCAGCATCAGTCAAGATTCTCGGCATCTGTTGGTCAATAAGAAGGATGGCGAGGCTCAACTCATCGATCTCACTACTAGGAACTCTGTTCAGAAGTTTTTGGGGCACACGGGGGGCGATTATCTTATCCGAGCTGCATTTGGCGGCGCAAGCGAGAGCTTTGTTATGAGTGGAAGCGAAGACGGAAACATTCTCATCTGGCACAAGAACATCGGCGCCGCCGTCGAGAGGCTGCCCGGCCACCAGCCGCGGTGCAATGCGGTGGTTTGGAATCCCACGGATCCGTGCATGCTAGCATCGTGTGGAGATGACGGCCGCATCAAAATGTAAGAAACACTCAGGAATCACCGACGCTGGGAGAGCCGCAACTTTGCTAACCATGAATTTACAGCTGGACCAACAAAGCGCGGAGCGTGGAGCTTCGGGCAAGGCATCCTAGGGGAGGCTCTAACGGATGGAGGAATGCGATTGACGAGTCGTAGGCCGAGAGGCAAGCGCTGCGTCCTCTATTCCGACCCATCAACCGCGTTTCCAGACCTCCACCAAGACCGCGGCCCGCAACAACGGCTGTCTTGGAATCAGAGGTAGGAGAAGGATCAAGACGTCCAAGATTACGACCAGGGCGGCCAGCGGGATTTGTGCTCCCGAATATCGCGCCATTAGTAGATACAGCAATCTCTGCTAACCTCGTGTTGCATGCTTTGAGTTCCCGTATACGTTCCTTGGAAGACTCATCTGAAATGCACTGATATCGACGGTAGAAGTGGCAGGCCCCTGGCGCGAACTGCCTGGAGATATCATGCTTCAAAGGGAACAATGGACGAGAGGAAAGTAAAGAGCGATACAGTGCTATCATTGAAGCGTCATGCCCTTGTCAGCGTTGAGAGATGCTGCTACTCAGACTCAAGTTGCCTCAAAGCTCTTTTGTCTTTTATCATACGCTTCGCATGAGTGTTTATTGATATGTTTACCATCATGTCCTCTCCTTTCCTTCACTAGTTAGCTGCTGGGGTGTCTAACGGGAGGCGTTCAAAGAGGTAGCGGTTGATGTCTAATGGTTTTTGATGCTTTGAGCGATTAATGTTAGGTACCTATGTGTAGAAGAATGGCTTTTGTTTACATCATGCACACTCAATAAACAAATCTACACTCCAAGTGGTATTTGCACAGTCGTTACTCCTACCGGTGACATGCCATTAGGATCAGGATGACATTCAAGCACGTAGTACTAGGTAATACTAGTTGATGGATTACTACTAGTATAATACGGGGTAAGGAAGGGATCGTAGGATTTGTGTGGCTGTCAGGCTAATACAGATTGGACTTTGTAGACATTTCCCCCCTTACATGCCCTCTGCATATGCAGGATTCGAGACATGCCGTGCTACTGCTACCTGTCGGGTAGGACAGCCATGGTTCGTATGCAGAATTGCTTTTTATATCCTCTTCTGCTTTCCGGATGTAGAAAGGCTCGGTGTCACTCGTCTGCAGCTTCAGGCGAAGGGCAGCTAAACTAACAACTAGACGTACCGGAATCTCAAACAAAAAGGAAAGGAAGAAGAAAGGCAAAACGGCTAAAGGCGTGGCCGATTAAAGATACTACTGTGGGTTATAATCAAACGGCTGCATATGAAGGACTGCCTGTTACTTGTAGTAGTATTACTACTATTACTGCTACTAACAAAGAATCCCCGCAAGTGTCGCGTGAGCACAAGCTCGCTAAGATGTACGAACTGCCTTATACTGTGGTAGGTAGATATCGTGGTCATAAAAGCCAGAGGGCATTTTCGGTGTTTAGTTGGGATTAGCATTGGACGGGGTGACCCCGGACTGGGCTACCATGTTCACCAGACAGCTACACATGCTTGTACGGTATTTAGTTGGCAAGTGTTACGAAAGTAGAGTTGGGTTAAATGGGCTACCGGGGATATGCTGGCTGCATCCCCTTCTTGGATGCTCATGCTAGTGCTAGTGTGCCTGCGACAAGTCCATCGTTCAGCTTGAGATCTGGGGGATGAGAGCTAAGAATCTTGAATGCACACTGGTACACAGATGAAGCTAGTTAGAACGCAGCATCAGCATTCATGCTCAATTGCAGGCACTCCAGCTTCGTATTATGTACTACTACCTAGTACTAATATTGCCCGGTCAAAAGTGGCGATGCCAAGAAGGTGTAAAAGGAATGAAATACTGTACGGAGAAGCTATTGCTTGCGACTTTTGCACTGCGTACAAAACAAGATCCCAGCCATTGATTAGCAGGGAGCGAGATCTGCCTACAATGAAATGTCATCGCTCTTCGTATCAACCGTCTGACGCTGCCAGCATGTGCGATCAGATGGTGCTCAGGCCATTCATTGTCCGTGCTCGATGTCAGTTTTCAGATAGATTAAGCGATGCTACCCAGCGATTCCCGAATGTGCTCAGAAAGCATGCCATATGCTGCATAGCCACTCAGGGCACTGGACCACATCGGCTATCAGCATCTGTTGACGGTGCCCGTCAAGTAGGCCTAACATCTGCCGTGAAAAATTGTCTTTCGCCTCTCGTCTCCCATTCTCGGGCGCACTTTGGACATGTCATCATGTAAGAGGCTTAAATGGCCGTAACGCGGGTATGTAGAAGGTATTTGCAGTACAGAGTCTTCGAATCCCGTACCCTGGTTAGAATACGGAGTAGATACCACCGCAATATTACTAGGACCAGCAGTATTCGGTAGGTGCCGGAAAGCTTACTTACTTACTTACAGTATATGGCATCCTCCTAATCGCCCGTGCTGCTATTATAAGCACCAGCAGCTGCAGTATCCAGGGAGCGGCTTCTCCAAGTTCCCATTGAGAAGGTTCTCTTTACCCTGCCCCGACTCTCACGCTCTGCCTGCTGCGTGCAAGTCAAGTCAAGCCTGCAGGGTAATGTTGAGGGCCTGGGCTTTGGCCATTCTCCAGCATGACATGTTTACCCCTTTCTTTTTCCAACAGGCCTGAGCATTAGCCTGCTGCTGGCTCTGACGCTTGTGGTGTAGTCTGCTGAGATGCATGCATATATACGTGTATCACAGAGTTTGCTCGTATGCAGGGCGACAAAAGCCTAACATTGAGCCCATATTGCATTCGTCTTGGCTCTCTTTTGTCTCAATTCTTTCAGTTTGTTACTCTTTTGAAGCCTTGGTTGGAGCTTTGAGCAACTTTCGCGAAATTGGACAAGGATTGAATCATGGCTTGTCACGAATAGCGAGAAACCCCCACAATCCGGGGCATTTGTGAGGGGCGCGCGCCGTTGACTCGCAACTGTACGGCGCTAAAATGTTGCTGCAAGAACTCTTGGGAGCGTAAGGAGGTACTACTTGTTTGTATACCTGATATATTATCCATATCATATGAATGTACAAAGGTATAGTCGATATTATAAGTGGGAAGCTGAGCAGTTATTCGGAATTACGAAGAATAGGTCGGAGAAAAGGGGCGGTTAGAAGTCGCGCCGTCTGCTTCTTGACTGCCGAAGACTTGGAAGACCAACTAATAGCGACTTAGCCGTAAAGGCTGATACCTACCTACTCCAGACAGACTTCCAGAGACAAAAATCTCGGCTATATTTCAATTACCGAATTTTTTCGTAGGCGAGATCTACTACAAGGCATAGGCCTAATAACTGATAGACGACCACATAGGCGAGGCGAAATGTCATCCGAATAAGCCGACTTGACAGCGTATCGTTTCCCCTTTTGTCCCCAAGTGCACGTTCGAGCAGCGTGCATCGTGACCGAGGCCTCTCCCTGGCACCATGGCCTGATTGCTTTTTTTTTTTTTTTTTTTTTTTTTTTTTTGCGGGAAATGGAGCCGGAACTGCTTAGATCGGTTGCTGGCCTGGATGCCTGCTTTCAGTCGTCCCTTCAGAGAACATTCTGCTTATTGTGAGCGTTGCTTCTATGCAGGGTTGGCGCTGTAGATGCATCTTGTTAAGAGGCTGATATCCCTGGAAAGTATCCAAAGTATATAAGTCGAATACAGTATGCCGGTAAGAGTCTGTGTTGCTGACATACATGTGCAGGCAGGCTCACCTTCCATTCAGGAGACAGTTATCGGCCTTGAAGATCAACAGGCTGCTGCAAGATGGCGTTGCCTGCGTTGACGCCACTTCCAAGGCATGATGCTGCGGATCCCTTCCGCTCACTTCACATACTGCAGCCTGTTTTATGTAGTACTACTTACCAGTAATACGGCTATACACTTTGTATATTTCCAGAGACGTACACTGTTTCGGCGGATCCGGATGCAGCAAATACTATGCTTATACAGACTGTTGAGCTTGCATTCGAAACAGAAGGTGACAAGGTGAGCAAGAGACAAAGGAATCGCGAGTTTCACCAGCAACTCAACTCCCCCGGCCAGTCTTACTCGTCACATTATCCATCATCCTACTCTGTTATGAAATGCTGACTGTTGCAACACAAACAAGGCCTTGACAAGTCGATCAAAGAAACACATGTAGTACAGTACCAGTACCTATGGATCTGTGACAGCATACGTCAACATAAAGGGACCAAGAAAGAAGCCCTTGTACAACATGAAGCAGCCATGTAAACAGCGCCCGCTTGTCTCTGGTCTTTCTTTTTAGTTTCGAGCAAACCCTGGGCGGCCCTAGTACAAACAAGAGGATGGCGTGGGCGCAGCGTCGCATTGGAGCTCCAGCACTGGCCAGCTACGCATCTGCGCCCGGCCAGTAGACCAGAGATTGAAATTGATCGTAGATCAAGATGGAGGCTAACGATCACTGTTCCCCCCATCGGTGAAGTGCTATTGGCTTGAGTGAGCCCAGAGCCACGAGCCCAATACCACCGCGGAATCATTGCACCGAAGATCGGCAGCTGCTAGCAGCAGTGCAGGGGGGACTTTGGGACAGAGTTGACGGCTAAAAGGATTTGATGCGAGGCAATCAACATCACTCACTAGCAGCAGCATGGTGCTGTGTGTGTTGTGTGTGTTGTGTGTTACAAACTACTCTCCGAGCCGCTCCGTTGGCTTGGCCGTCAGTCATATCGTCTGATGTCCGTCGCCAACTGGTCGGTACAGTCGTATTCTGCGCTTCGTACCAGCATTTGATCAGTCGCCACCGTGACCATCACCGTCGTGAGATGCCGCCATGCATTAGGCACATGTACTCGTAGCCAGACGCCCTCTTCTCGGCCAATGAGCAGATCTGTGCCTGATGCAGGTACCGGAAGAGCACTAGCACCACCAAGAACGTAGCACCAACACCCCCGGCTTCCCCGAGCTTTTTTGTTCTTTTGATCTTCCTTTTGTAATCTCTTGTTTGTCTTGTTCCTCGGGGCGATCCAAAGCGCTGGTATTTGTTGCACAATCAACCGTATCGCAACGATGACATGCCCGGAGAAGTGACAAATACGCAAGAGTACCTTCCTTTAATTGATATGCTCCGTATTGAACTTTCGTTTCTGCTTAGTGCTGTCAAGATGAACCATGATCTGCGGAGTGCTGAATTAGGTCGAGGTAGTGCGCCCTGCAGATTGCTTGCTCTAACCACGACAAGTAACGGAGTAGAGTGAGCCCCATAGACATATCATTTTTGTCATGATATTACAGTAGAGCGATAGAGAACAGACACCAGTATGCGCAGATGTACTTCTGAGAGTAGTACTAGTATACAGGCAAAAGCACACAGGTAATGCTGCTCTTGGTGGAGGCCGGTATCCATAATTGCCATCTTGCAATAGCCGCCCCTGCATGCAGCAAGCAGCTAGCCTCGATTTTTTTTTCTTTGGCGGAGCCTTGAGTAACGACACGACTCTTCGAGAAAGCTGTGCTTGTACGTCCTTGTATTCGTGCATGGTATACATGGCGTTACCGTGCTAGCAATAAGCCATGGCTGCAACTTGACCTATGCTTCGCCCGCTTGGGCGTATGCCTGGCATCAACATGTTGCGGAATGCTCGGTATCTTTGCTTGCTTGTGTTTTCCCATCCTGCTGTACTTGAAAAAACTAACTAACAGCCGAAGCCATGACGAAAGGCGGACTGCCGTCTTGTGTGCCCGTACGGCTGGCTGGCTGGCTGACTGGCTGGCTTCAGGAATGATGGCTAACACGGCTAATGGCGGACACAGCCATGGCAATGCCGATCAAGACCCGGATGAAGGGATTTCGGCGCCGGGCGGAAAGGAGGGCGAAATTAGTGGTGGCCAGGCGCTGCTTGGTGCGTTGCCATGATGATACCGTGGTTGGTGGCTTTCTAGAGACTCTGCGCCGTTCCTGGCCCCTGGCCGAGGCTGGCCCATTCTGGCGGCCAAGCGTCGAGACGCTATTCCATAGACTTTGCTAGAACAGAATTAAGGAGCCACTCTGCGCTCCCGTGGCCACCCTCCCCTCCCAGATAGCCTGGCAGACCCTTGTCCGTGGGCTTCGTACTTCGTACTTCGTATACTTGGCTTGGGCTGGCAGAATCAGAATCGACTGCAGCCAGCGCAGGTGTCAAGTCGCTCTAGTCGCACACGCGGATGCAGCCCTGCAGGAGGCGCACGTTGTGCCTCGCTTGCTTGGTGCCCGGCTCTCCTAATCCGTCGACAGAGTTATTCATCCTGATAAGCAGCATGGTGGCAGTACAGCATGGCATTTGCATACGACTCACACACAGGCAGGGTGCCCAAGTGCAGCGGAGTGGGTGTTATTTCGTATATATGTGCCTGTATCAGGTCCAGCGGTGGTCTGGACAATGATCATAATATTGACTCCATCTCGTAGACGACGACTACTACGATTGAGGACAGTACTCCGCGGTACGGGACTCGCAGTAGAGGTATTTGTCAACCGCCTCGCCGATAGCCTGGCGCGGAGAGCGATGGCATGTATACACAGGGAGCTGAAGAGTGTTTTGCGGGAGAGAAACCATCAAAGCTGATATAAAATATGGAGTCGGATTACAAGTGTTATTACCGCTGGAGACCCTGGTGGGGATAGGGACCAGCAGCGCTCCGCTCCCTGGCGCAGCTTTGCCAATAACTCGATAGGCTGCGACGCCAAACGGGCGAGAGCGCTGCCATCGTCAGTTGAAACGAAGCTGCTGCGGCCGTCCTCGTGGTATCGTGGAGTACCTGGCGCCCGCTCAGGTGGGAGACGGTACTCCAAAGTACGCTGGACGCTACTGTAGATGTCTCGCCAGCGGGTGGCGAATGGTTCATGATCCAAGGCGCTATTGCTGCATCTGGTGCGCTTTAGCAGGCACATGGAAGGATCTGATGCTTCTACTGGGTTGCTGGGCTGTAACGGCGGCTCTTGTCTGTGCCTATAGCGCTGGGTACTGACCAATATCTTAGGTAATGCCATTGATTGATATGGGATGGGGTTCTGCTTCAAAATGAATTGGCAGCAACATTCCATTACTTGTGCTACTACTAACATGAAGGCTTACAGAAATTGTCTACAAAGAGTCAAGTACCTTGCATTTCCGCTATTGCAATATACTACTAGTAGCACTCTAGGGCCTCCGTCCATCTCGTACCAGCGTTTGACTACTTTATACACTTTCGATTAATTTTTCTTTCATCCTCTCTTCGTGCCCCCAAAGCCTCGCTACCTGCTCCCCAAGAGATTCCGGGCGGTGGGGATGCAATTTATCAGGAACCCTTGGAAAAGCCCAGGGAGGCGGCGTGGCCCACACGCTGTTCTTTAGGGGACAGCATGGGCCTTAGTGCGCCGGCGAGCTCCATGTACTGGGACGCCTCTGCGGCCATGACGAGACATGCCTCGAGGCCGGCTTTAGCGCTGATTGGGACGGCGGCCCACTCATTCTGGAAGTATCCTGCATCGCAGACCTCGCGCCAGGTACATGGAAGCGGTGCCTCGGATTTGACTTCGATTGCGCCTCCCCAGCGCTGGGGCCGGTGGCGGCCCTCCGTCGCAGCAGCAGAGGGCACAAGGTATAGCGAGGTATAGCGCTCAGCCAGCGTCTTCTAGCGACTGGGTACCTGCCGACGAGGGCCGTCCGGGGCCCTGTGCTTTTCCATCACTTGCAATTCTTTAGGTATCAAATACTGCTGGCAGCTTGAGCACGTCTGCTGCCCCCCCCCGCCGGCGGCGCCTGAAGACCGGATCGTCATCTATAAACTCGGGTTTGGCAGCTAAAACCTCGTCCCCAGCCGCATCCACCATCTCCGGACAGAACTAGCCCGGGCCCTCACTTGCTAAATTACTGCCCGTTGCTAGTATTTCAGCTCGCGCTTCCTCCTTCTCCATGGCTCCATCTCGGTGAATCCCTCATTTCGCCGTTTCTTCTCTTCCTTCAAGTTCTTTGTTGCTTTGCTGTGATACCCCGTTGCCATCTCTCGACCCACCAGAGACTCGCTGCTATTGCCTTGCTGAGCCTCCCTCTGTGCGGACATTCAGACGAGGTTAAAAAAAAAAAGAGGAGACGACAAGATAGGAGGCCATTCCCATTGTCGAGTTCTTACAGGCCACAGGCTCTGCTCTGCTCTTACACCCGAGAAGCGCAAACCCTCTCGACTACGCATATGAACTCAGTCGATAGAGGCGATTTTCGTCTTTGCTTTTTCTTCCTCAGCATGTGCTTTTAACCCCAGCGACTGACAGTCCCGTTTCCCTTTCTCCCGGTCTGTTTGCGACTGCAGCTGCGGCTTTCAGGAGCAGCAGCCTCACAACCGCTCACCATGGATTGCCTTGACGGTTATCTCCTTGTTCCTCCCGACCGAAACCACATTCTCGCGAAAGCGCAATGGAAGGTATGTTTGTTTGCTTGCTGTCTCGTTTGGCCTGATAACAGTTTGTGGCTCATTACTCGCCTTCTTTTCTGCTTGGATCCTGTCTAAGCTAACTTGCACTCCTTGCAGTCCCGATACGTCTTCGTTGGCAGACGGACTACCATCAACAAGCAGAAAGACCGACAGAGCGGTAACGGCGTGTGGCCTTCCAGCTCTGGCCCCAAGCCCCTCGTCAAGACGTATACCGATGAATACTGCATCTCCGTCTTCAAGTCCAAAGTAAGCGCGGATACGCTGGCTGCTGCGATTCTTGACAACCTATACAGCAACATCTAACACTTTTCTCTCTCTCAGGAAGATGCGGAACCCTCTTACCAGTGGCCTACGAGCTGCGTTCTCGACTGCCAAGTCCAAATGGTCGCCTATCGCAAACAAGGGCCTATCCAACCCACGCTTGTTGTCACCATATCCGATAAGGAGCGGAAACGCCGCTCTAGTCGATCTGTGGGCTTGATGGCAAGCAAGGAAGCTGGTACTAGTACTCTGTGGTTCCGGACACCACCGGATGATCATCACAACAGCCTTCACGAGTGGGCTCAGTTTATCCTGGATAAGAAGAATCCTCCAGCCTCAGATGGAAGTAGCACGCCGGTGTTTTCGAGCCCCTTCAGCCCCAGGAGCCGTGAGACGGAATACTTTCCCAGACCTGATAGCGGAAATCAAGGGAGTCGCCCGGATGCGAGGCCTCTACAGCACAAGAGCTCCAGCGCTACGTATTCGACGGGACCTCGCGAGCGGCCTGCCACATTCAGCTCAGATTCGCCGAGCCTGCGATCCAAACGAAGCGATCTTTCTTCGCCCTCTAGCGTCAGCCAGCACCCGATCCAGAAGTCATTTGCGGTTCCAGGCCAAATCTACACTGGACCGATGCATAACGATGCGGGGTTGCCTTCGATCAGAGACTCGATTTACCAGGGAGAGCTGATCGAGGGATGGACGCAGGCCCAGGGGCGCTCCTCGACTTTGAGTTCACCTACGCGTGGCCCTGAAACGCTGGGCTCACCAATGGAGGCGTTCATGGGGTTTGACGTCAGCGCACCGCCTGCCCCTGGAGAGACGATCCTGGACAGGGCCTTTCAGATGGGGCATATTCCATGGGCTGACACAAGCGTCCCCGGTCAGGAGAACTTCAATTCTATTGCTCGATTCGATGCTCTCATGCGTGAAGTAGACGATAAGCGGAAACAGAGAGAGGCTGCCCAGCGCCTGGAACGAGCGGCCGTACGCAACACCTACAATCCTCAAGCAGGGCAACATCTCGACTATAACGAAGAGTTCGACTCCGATGACAACGCGCACTCGGCGGATGAGCAAGAGGGCGACTATGATAGGAGCCCGATTATCTCCCCTTCGGCTCAGCGAGCATTGGCCTTTATCGCAGATCGACGCGGCGAGTCGCCAAGAGAACGTGGATCACGACGTCCCACCATCTCCAGGGCTCACTTGAGCTTCCATGTCGATACGATGGCCTCGGCATCAACATCGCAATCCCCGCCCTCACGGCCTCACACAGCTCATGCCAAAAGTCGCCTCAATCCCACGCAGAGGACCCAGAGCACGCCGCACCTGAATCCAATCTCTGCAGGCAGGGTGACTGATGATAATGCTTCACGGAGCGGAGACTCGGATCACCGCCGATCTGGCGCGAGCTCCAAAAGGTTGAGTTTCTCTGAGTTCACCAGAAGGCTCTCGAGCACCAGCAGCTTACTGGTAGTCCAGACCAACAGCAGCGGAGATAGCCGCCGAGGAAGTGTTGGCGCAGAGCCGCTTCCCTCCAGCGTACGGCGGCCCAACATGAGCCATAGGGATACCGTTCCCCCGCCCAGAAGCCAAGAATGGCAGACCCAAGATCGACGCTGCCCGTGGCGCAACAGCGTTGTCGGCGTTGGCCCCGAGGGCGGATTTCTTTAAACTGCCGTTACGCCTAGTTTTACTGCCCTCCTGTGCTATACATCTTGGCTGCCTCTATTCACGTTATGATTCTTTGCCGACTAATACACATCACCAACGACCTTCACTCATCAGCGTTTTGTTTTTCATGTGAAACTGAGTGGCACAATTCCTAGAAGAGGAACCCAATCCAAGGAGCAAGATTTCGAAATGCAGGCATACCTGGCTCACGTCGCCTGGGCGAGATTTCTCCTGTTTTACTCTTACTTTTATTAATATCGCCTCTACATAACGACGACATACATCATTTTTACTATTAGCATCACTACGCACTACGCACGACGCATTACGACGAGGACTGTTTAGCCTTAGCATGACTCCGGCGCTGGTTTTATCCTGGGAAGAGTGTACGATTCTTATCTTCATCCCCTATTCTCACTCTTCCCTTCTCTTTTCTCTTTTCTCTTTTCTCTCCTCATCCATCGGAGAGGCGGCCCCCATTTCTTGTTTAAAAGATCTTACGGTGTTTATTAGATATTCTCACAATTTTCTTTCTTTTCTTCTTCTTCCTATTTAGTTTGTTCTGCGCCCCGGCGTGGGAGAAGGAGGGGGTAAAAACGTATTTAAAGTGACCATGATGGGTAAGCATATAGTCTTTTCAAGTACATGGTTTTTTTTTTTTTTTGACTTCACGAAATGAGACGCAAAGAGATTACGCAGTGACTGATGAGGTAGTCTCTGTACGTTGTTGAATACTTTTGATAGATAATTGTCCTTGAAAGAAGAAATACAATCATATCAATCAATCACTGCCGTGTAATATACTTCATCTGCTCATCACATGGCCTTTATTCTTCTGACGTTTCCACAATTTCTTGTTCCTTTATCGCGTCAAACATATGTCGGGCGCGGATATCAATTACTAACTACTAGACTACATACCTATGTAATGGATTTCAGTGTATCTATCTACCTTTCTCTCATTTTGGCCTCTCGTTATTTTATGTCGCTTATCAACTTTCCGTGCCTCCCCCTTGACAGCCTACCGCTTCAATCCCCATGTCCCCGTTCTCGATATGGCCTTGTTCTTCTTTCTGTTTCTTTTTTTTTTTTTTTTTCATAAATGGTCATGATTTTTTCACCAATAGTAGAACAACACTGTTCTTTTCTTCTTGGCATACTTGTTCTTCTAAATTGTCGAATTTTTATCGAATGTACTGAGCAATGGCTTGCTGCAGCTCGGGCGTAAGACGCTGCGAGATGAAGCCCTCAATGGCACCGCCATGTCTCTGGTTAGCCCCAACCATGTACTGCTTGACCCAGGTAGTCACATCCTGCACCTCGGGGAAGTCATCCCGCGCAGCAAGCTTGCACGTGTTGAGGGCCGTGAATGTCAATCCAAATCCAATATCATCAGGAGAGTTTTCAGTAACGATTTCGTCTCCGACGCCAGCGGCAACGCTGGGAGGGTGTGCCAGCAGAGTGAGGAGAATCCTGCAGGTGTTTCCCCAGCCCTTGGCGAACTTGGTAGCGAACACTTGAGAATCGCATAGCGTTTTGGTCAGAGAGACCACAGCAGCCTTTCGATCAACGGGTCTTGCCAGTTTGTCTGTTTCCTGCAGGATAAATGGAGGATAAACTTGGGCAAAGACTTTCTCGTCTACTTTGTCGGCATGCTTGACAAAGTAATCTGCTCCGTAGCCAGCTTCCAGCTTCCCTCCAACGAGATGAAAGAATCGAACGAAGCGGATCTTGAAAGAATCAGCTGGGGATCCTTGTAGCTTTGTGAAAAGCAGCCTGAGAATGGTGTCAAAGTACGGGTCAAGAGCCGATCTGGGAAAAAAAATTAGTATTGCAGCATGGAAGAGTCGTTTACGATCAACTCACGGCTCAAAAGAGTTGACAATAGCCTCAAGAATGTCAAATGCATGGAGCTCTGACTTCTTTCCGCTGAGTAGTCGTTGAAAAATTCCAAGAACAGCCTCAGTCTGATTCTCAGTAACAATCTCCTTGGCTACTCTGGGAATAAGCGCGGCCAACAAGCGTGTGCAGGCTGGGATGTTGCCCCTGGTTTCCCACAAAGGAGGCTGCAGTAGAGGACCAAGTAGTGCCTTGTAATTGTCAGAGACGGAATCCACAGGGCTGGACTCAAGGAGCTGCGCCAGGATCTGGAAGACGTATGGAATAAATTCTACCGATATACCGTTAGTTCTGGAAAATTTAGAGTCGTCAAAGATGAAGAAAACCTACCCGTAACATCGTCAACCAGGATTTGATGTGCTGGTTCCCATAGTTTCTGATTAATTGCAGCGGCATGCGTCGCGGCACAGTATCGTACCAGAGCGCCGAGAGCCTCAAAGTGATAGTAGTAAAAGCGAGGGTTGCTAGGGTTAGACTTCATCACATTTGTAATGAGAATAAGGTGTGTCAGGATAGTATCGAGCCAGGGGCCCGCTCCGTCCTTGATGACAATGAGAATTCTCATCACGCATCGCATCAAGAATTCGTTTTCCTGCAACTTGGGAGCGCTAGTCTCCCTTTCTATCAGCTTGAAAAGATGAGTGAGCAGATCCTTTGCGAACGGCTCAATGTCTGCGCGGGGGAACATTGCATTGCCCGCATCGTCTGTCAGAAACAGCACGCGCTCCACGGCAATGGCCGCGTAGGTATATACAACATAGTTGGACGAGTTGAGGTTCTGAATCAACGGACCAATCGCCACTTTCCACTGCTCCTTGGACAGCTGACTGCGGAATGTGTAGAGAAATTTAATTGCGTCAACTTTAGAGATTGGCTCAATTCCCTCTCCATTCACCAGGTCAGATGCAATATGCTGCTCGAAGAAGTCGACAACGTTGACAAGTGGGTTGACGGTCTTGACGCCTTGAGCCTGTGTGACGGCACCCTTGGCGGCAATCGAAATGAACAGGTAGACGGCAGTGTCTTTAGACTTCCAATCGGATTTTCCTTGGGTGAGGTAGTGGTTGATGTATCTCGAGACAGAGCCAGTAACGGGGGCCTCAAATTTCTCTTGCAGACTGCGGAGGAAGTCGGTGGCTGATCTGCGTCGAGAGCCCGTATCAGAGCCCTCCAAGTCTCGGCGAATATACTCAATCGGCTCATCCTCAAACAGTTCGATATCAGAGTCTCGCAGGCTAACATTGGGCAGAATAACCTTTTCAATAATCTGGGTGAGGACTTCTTCGTTGTTGAAGAGCTCGGAATGCTCTCGAGTCGCCGCAACTGCCGCCAAGAAGTGCAGTGACTTGCTGACAAGAGTGTCGTACTTTGTCTCTGAGCCAATGGATGACACCAGGTTCCAGGTGCTTGTGATGAATGGCTTGCAGTATTGAGAGAAATCTGCGTCATATTTGAAGGTATAGAGCTCAAGGAAGTCGCAAATGTCGGCCTTGGCGGTGTCGACAACGCTGACTTCATCGTCGTCGTCGGTATTCAGGATGGCATTGGAGTAGTTCAGATACTTGTGAAGCAGCTCGGAGATGCTGGAGAGGTTGTCTTCGAAAACAGGAGGCAGGTCGTGGCAAGACATGTCGAACATAATTTTCAGCTGCAAGCTTAGAACCTCAAACCAGCCTTGAAGAGCCGCCTTGTCTTGCGCATTCTCGGTGATTTTACTGTCGGTAGTCTATGGGAATTCACATGAGCTGATATTAGCCTCAGGTCTTGGAAGAGAGATGATACAACCGGAAAAGGGAAAGAAAGAAACAAGGTGGGCCAAAACTGCTCTTACCGCTAACAACTGGAAGAATGGAGCGCCAAATGTGTTGATGACATGGTTGATTTCGGTATACAGGGCGGTCGTTGCCATGAGCGGCCTCCATCGAACGAAGATGGAATGAGCTACCTCCAGCACACCAATGTTCGCCTTGGGATCGGTGGCGGAGAAACGGCTGACAAGGTCCTGTTTACCATGTCATCAGTACATGTAAGGTCTTTCGAGGTCACATTGGAAGATAGCTACCTGGGTTAGAGTATCCCATCGCTCCCAAAAGTCTGAGTCGGCTATAATGCTGACAGCCTCACCCAGCTGGCTCTGAATGTTGGCAGGAGAAGCGATCATCAGCCCGATGAGGCGCTCTTTAATTGTCTGGACCTCGTCCTGAGGGATCTTGTAGTTTCCATCGGCGTCCTGCACGTAGAATTCTTAGCATCTCGAAGGTCCTGTCTCGGAGATGAGGTTCGCGTAGGTCGCGTCGGTGGCGTGGCATCGTTACTTACCACATAGTTGTTTCGGATGAAGTTCTTGAAGGCCAAAGCAGCGCCTAGCCGAGTGTTGATGGGCAGAGAGTCGTTGCTAACAATCGTGAGCAGCGTCAGTGAGTACTGAGGCTTGGCCGCCTCCTGCTTGAGAGCAGCCTCGGCTAGAGTAAATCGACGCTCGTCAGTCTATGGCGAACTCTACAGACGCGTTTCGCGCCCTCCTTGTGCTTCGCGTTTGCATCCAAGGCGGGGCAATGACGAGAAGCGCAACATACCTGTGCGGTGCTGAGCAGGATCCAGAGTTGCCTGCAGCAGCTGTGCAATGTGGCCAACGTCGGCCGCCATCGTGAGTTCTGTTCGCGTCGGATACCGGGCGTGGATGGGTGCGCTATGTTGACGAGACACAGGCGGAGAGAGGGCTTGAAGGCGTATGTACAATGTGGTGTTTGTGTTGGCGGTAGGTATGTTTGGTTCGCGTCGACTTTTTTTGGAGGTTGCCTCGTCGCTGCTGGGAGCAAGGCTCTAGTGGGGTTGGAGCTTTGTCACGGCCCTGTTGGCTCTGGGACGGCGGGGGCGGCTGCGGCTGTGGGCATGGATCAGGCCGCTGAAGCTCTTTTGACGCTGTAAATGAGGTTGTAATCCATGCTGGAAAAGGATTGCTATCGGAATTACCTGTGGGTTTATATTATTTTATTCGGTTTTTTTTTTTCTTTTCTTTTCCCTTTTCATCTATTCGAACTTGTCAAAACCATTTAAAGCTCTAATATACTGCTTTAGGCGAAGATGAGCAGTACATGTATACATCATCAGCTCTTGGCGATGAGCTAACAACTACTAGGACAAGACTTGTATGTTCACTTGACAAACTGTGCTCTATTTGAATTATCTATGCCATACATATCTCTTTGTAGCTTTATTAACATTTCTTCTATATCGAGATATACAGAAATACATCTCGTGAGTCTTTAATTCATCGCATACTTCATCTTGACGCAATCTTTACCCTCGTCACTTCCAAGGTTTCCGTATCCATCAACACAAACTCCTTCGTTTTCGAAAATGACGGCACAGCAATAAGGCGCACACTTTGGCCGTCAGGGCCGTGAATGACCTTGGTTGCAAACTCGGGTTGGCAGCCAACAAAGTAGACGTGGGGGCAGGTCTTGAGGACGAAAGGGTCGTCTTCTTGGAATGGATAACTCCCTAATAACAATTTCGTCAGTATTTGACCAGTGCTATGAAAAAAAAAAGAGCAGGGGCATAGAATGGATTTCGAGGAGAAGAGAGGGAAAACATACATAATGTATCGGGTGCGGTGGGAGCGCAGCACCTCCATCTGCACATGGCCTCCATCATGCCTAGTCGGTCGTCGCTCTCCACATACTTGAACACATCGTCCACGTTTTGGCCACCCGTGCCCAATATCCTCCACCCTTCTACCTCTGCTTCCCATGGATTCGTCACGGGGTCGAACCACCCAGGCTGTGATGCTGCTTTTGTACCAAGTTCCGCCGCATAGGCTCGTGAAAGGGGAAACATGGCGCTGTGAACGGGTTGCTGAGGATAGCTTGCGTTGGCGGGATCCTGAGCACCGGGGAGGAGGGTGACAGGGATGGAAGGTAGCAGCTCCGAGACAAACTGATCAAAGAGCTGGGATGGCACGGGGTTGTAAGCGCTGGCATCGTAGCCGTATTTCTTCTGCACCGCCTTCTTTTCATCTTCATCTTCGCCGCCTTCGTCGTCGTCCTTCTCTTTGATGGTGGAAATAGAATTACCAGCGATAATGAGCCTACTGATTTGTGAAAGATTGGTCTGCTCGTCGGGGCCGAGTGCCTCTCCAAGCAGATACTCCAACAAAAGATCCAGCTCAAGATCATATGACGCGTCGGTACCGGAAAAGGACAACCCCGATACGATGGCAATCTTCTTGCCACCGCTCTGTGAAGGGCTATCCGTCATTTCTGTATCCTCGCCTTCGGATTTGCCGCTCGCGGTAGGTGGTTTGGAGAGGGCCCAGCGCTCTGGCTGAGGAGCCAAGTCGGGAACTTTCAGATCAATGACCTCGAACTCGCCGTTTGTATTCTCGGTGCCCATAACAGCAATGATGCAACCGGTGACAAGTGGGATGTTATTGAGCACGTCGCCGACTAAGCGCACACGGCCTGAGTCGTCTTCCAGCATGATCTGATCGGAGCCGTCGTCGGAGTAGTACTTTTGCGAGGAGATGGGCGCAGATAGCCAACGCTAGCAATTTGGCAATTTCACAGTGAGTATTATCCATAGCGAGTATAGGCTTATGCTAGCCAAAGAGAAGAATATACTCACATCCTTGGACACATCCTCAAGGATGTTGGGCTTCAGCCGCATGTCCATGTAAACCGTTCCCGCAACCCAGCACAACTCGCCCTGCCGAACATCAAGCACTCGTTCAACCCTCGTCGCTCGCTCGCCGCCAATCTCTGTGCCTTCCCATGCCTTTGCAGCCACCTTTTCTACCGCGGGCTTGATCTTGGTGAGCCGCAAGAAGTACATGTCGCCAAATTGCTGCTTGTAGGATCGCTGCTTCTCCAAGGCGAAGGAATGAAGCGGTTTGTATGCTGACTCTGCTCGGATGGGCGCCTTCTGGGAGAGATCCCTTGCATCAGCGTTAGAATGGAAGCAGACGGGCTGAGGGGATCAGGACATACGCAGGCGTCTGCAAGAGACTAGAGACATCTTCGAGCTTGACCATGGCGGCGGCTGTCAGCAGCTACGGCCGAAGCTTTCGAGGTGTGTGTAATTATTTTTCAAATTTGATGCTCAGTTGGGCCGTCTTCGTGCTTCTTTGAGTACGTATTATGTGGGTTGGTCGTGCATTGATTGTTCGAACTGTTAACATCCAGGTGTCATCGTGAACATGCTCCAGGTAGAGCACTTTAGCTCAAATGGTGGTGGTGGAAGCTCGACGCGCCTTTGCCTGCACGCACTTTTTTGCGCTGCCCCGCGTCGGACACGCGAGGTCACACACCAAGTAGCTGCCCTGTGCCTCGGTGACCATTCCCACCAAAGGAGCGACCAAAGCCGGACTAGGGGTACATGAATGTACTTTTAGCTGTCTCATCCATTAAAGTAGTCCGCTATATGCTCTATTTGGCCGCTAAACCAGCGTCTTAAAGGCCTAGACCCCTGCTGTCTATTTACTGCTCTCAGCGGCGGGTTCCGGGCTGACCTCTTTAATTCGGGCATCAACTGAATGCTGTACGGAGTAACGGAGCGCTCCGTAAAGGACAAAACCCCTCCCCCACCATGCACCGATGAGGAGAGCGATCCCACCGCAAGAAGCCGAGAACAGACGGCCAAGCTGGCGCTAGAAAACTTCGCCAGTGGGGTTTGCGATTACTGAGCCTGATTTCGATGTTTATAGGTATATGAAGCGGTAGCAAATCGGACTCACTCTTCTCTCTTTGTTACTCCTACATACACACATATCGTACACTTCATTCATTTCAGAACCACCCGCAAAACCGCCAACATGTCGACTCAGCAGCAGAAACCACCTCAAATCGTGACCAAGAGTCTCTCCTACACCTTTCCAGACTTTTCCACGGGCGTTCAGAACATCACTCTTGATCTGCCTCCGCGCTCACGAACGCTTCTGATTGGTGCCAACGGTGCCGGCAAGACGACTCTTTTGCGTCTTCTGGCTGGAAAACGCCTGGCCCCGGGAGATGCCATTTCCATCTGTGGCGTCGATCCCTTCAAAGACGGCCTCGAAGGCGTCACGTATCTCGGTCTCGAGTGGGTGCTCAACCCTATTGTGCGCAACGACATTGGCGTCGTGGAGCTGCTTCGGTCTGTTGGCGGTGATGCTTACCCCGAGCGCCGTGACGAGCTGGTTGACATGCTTGATATCGACATCAACTGGCGTATGCACGCCGTGTCCGATGGTGAGCGTCGCCGAGTCCAGCTGGCAATGGGTCTTTTGCGTCCTTGGACCGTGCTCTTCTTGGATGAGATCACTGTTGATCTTGATGTTCTGACTCGTTATGAGTTCCTTGCCTGGCTGAAGCGTGAGACGGAGAACCGAGAGTGCACAATCGTCTATGCTACTCACATCTTGGATAATCTGGCTGGTTGGCCTACCCATCTCGTCCACATGCATCTCGGCACTGTCAAGGAGTGGGACACGGCAGAAAACATGCTGCACGCCGTTGATTCAAGCGTTGGGGCCACTGGCAATAGCCGTCTCGGAGAGTTGGTCATGGGCTGGTTGAGAGACGACCTAAAGGAGAGAGGACCGAGAAGCCAAGTCAACCGTGCTCCTGAAGGCAAGACTTATGGCTTTGGTGCCATCAAGATTGGAGGATATGGCGATGAGTCCAAGCAAAGGGAGAACTAAGAAAAAAATAGTGCCTCAAGCACGAGTCGAGTTTTCCCGAATCCACGGAGAGCACGTATTCTTTGGGGATGATGCCTTCAACGGTTTCTCAGACGATACGTGAGGTGGATCTTTTCTTTGTTGTCATAAACGGGTCGATGAGCACAGCATTCAACGGTGCATGGCGTTGCTATTTGGCGGAGAGGCAGGCCTCAACTCTGCCTTCACAGCCGGATTTCAGTTTCATTCTGTTTTCAACATTTTGGGATAGGATAGCTGATGGATAAACAGCATTTCTTTTTTGTTTTCCCCTTTTTCTTCAATGTCTTTTCATTTTTGTTCCTTTTGATGATACCCTGAATTTCAACCGATGGGATAAAGGCAGCTGGTCTGTTTCAACTAGGCCTAACCAATATATCAATATATAGTCACCACAAAAAGGCGCAATATCTTTTCGTTCTCCCTAGCTTCTTCGTCTTCATTTATATGGACATTTTTGCTCGTGCTCGTGGTGTTGCATCCATTGAGTTCTTCAGCACTGTCATTGTGTTTTTCAACAGCTCGGCGATGCCACCAAGGCTCTTTTCCGCAAGTGATCTCAATACTTCGATGCGATAGTCTTGCCATGAAAGCTGTACACCTCCCGCGACAGCCAATTTCGAAAGACTGTTTTGTGTCACAGGCCCGGCGTGTCTTGTCCTTATGGCGTTATCGCTGCTTCCTATGGCGGCGTCCTCAAGATCTCGCACCGAGCGAATGCTCTGAAAACAGAGTACAGGCGAATATGACAACGTAAGAAGTGAAGGCAAAGAGAACGCCTTGTCCACTGAAGAGACATATGCCGTGAGGTTGGCCACGGTACGCCGTGGCATCAGGCAGCCATGAGAGTTGGTATCTGCATCGCTAAAAGCCCTGCTTCGCCAGAAGCAGTTACAGATATCCATAAGATACCCGTTATAGAGATTCACGTAGGCTCGGTCATAAGAGAGCGCATCGATTCGATTAGAGCCATCATTTCTTGCCTTTGTTGACATGGCCATTTCGAAGCCTTTTTTGTAGCAGGCCAAGATGCCACATAGGCGAGACATGGTCGCCACTGAACTGCTGAACAAGAACGTATAAATCAGCTCGGATGGTGGCAGTTCAATCCGTATATAGTATTTGAGAGAATCGTCATTGACGAGGTGAATCGCCTGTTCATAGAACTCGATGATGGCGATATTCACCGACTCTGTGGGAGAGGTTTGTAGAAGAGTGAGACTGAGTCGCCCGGTATGGCGTATCAACGCCGTGATGCTCGTATTTGCATGGGCTGGAACTGGATCGCTCGATTGTAATATGGCAGTCCAGTGACGGAGTATGTTGGTACATAGACGTAGAATTTCCTCCTGGGAGCCTGGCGTATTATCCAAGATAGCCAGCTCTAGTGGTTGCAAGATGTGTTTATACAATTCTAGATGGAGGAATTAGTTTATATGCATTGATAGCTAGAAAAAATACTTTCAAGAGGAACGGATACTTGCCTTGGAACTCCACAAGAGGAGTGAACGACAGAATCTGTAGAATGGAGCCATGCTGACCAGACCCATTCCACTGTTGGAAAAAAGTAGCAAAAAAGCTAAGAACAACGGGAGGTACGGACTGTCATCATGTATCAGCACCGGCCTTGAAGATAGACAGACGGTATGTAAGCCTGCGAGAGCTCTAACCTACTTTACTTTGCACCACAAATTCTTTTACGACATCCAAAACTTCCCAGAGCACGGCTTCGTCAGCATCGCCATCAATGACATTTTGCAGAACCGAGTTGAGCCAGTTCGCTACCCGTTGGTAAGCCTCTGCGTTTGGACGCAGAAGCAGCAGCTTTTGCAACAAGGGATCCGCGAGGACGGCCACAAGTTGGTTGGGTAGCTCTATCCTGTCAATATTCTGTACAAAGCCTGTGATGTTCTCGACTTCTTCCAAAGTGACAGAATTCTGAAATCATGTTAGTATACGAATATACATTGGAGGTCATGGCCATATTACCTCTGTGGCATGAGACGTGTGGACGGCTGGTACAACTCTGTTTCCTCGGCCTCGACCAGTGGGGCGATTAACCCGGAAGCCGTCAAGAATAGCTTGTGAATTCTTCTCTGCTTGCAGGGCATAAGCCTCTTGTACTTCCTGAAGCCTTTCTTTCCACGATATGTCCGGATGCTGAGGCAGTATTGATTAGTTCGGGTCAACTTGAATCTGTGCTATCGTCATGAACCAACCTTGAAGGCTGAGGCCCTGCCTCGAACTAGCTCTCCCAAGATGATTTCAGGATAATAGTCTTTGTAGACTCTAAGAAGGCCGATTAAGTAAGGATCATTGGCAGTCTGCCGTGATAAGTTCAAGCTTTAAAAAGAAATCTGGTCAGTCTTTCGAGCTTTCCTAATGCATGGCCCTATCCTCCTGATGAGATACTCACAGAGCTTGGATCCTAAAGGGTCTAACATGCTTTCTTCGTGTGATGAGTGCAAGTAAATGGCAGAGATTGGGTCGAATCGCTGCCGTATTGAGCAAATTGAAGAGAACACTGTAGGCTTGAGCGAACACGGCTGGGGTTTCCAGCACGTGGTGAATCATGATGAGCCATTTCAAAAGTGCTACCTGGATACTGAGCGAAGGTTTAAGTGCTCCATGGCCAAGAGCCCCAATAACACGAATGGCAACATCGCGGGATACTCTGGAGACAGGATACAGATTTCTAACTATGGCATTTCGACTAGCCTGATCAAGGTGGCTGGGTGCAACAACCAGATCAATAAGCTGATCAAGTGCTTCCGGCAGTAAGCCATTTTCGTAGGCCAAAGAGGTCAGGCTTGCCACTGTAGGCCTGATATCTCCCATTCGGGACTTGGCTGGTAACTTGGAAGCTAACAGAGTAGGTACGGTAAGTAAATGCTACACCAAAGGAGGCATACTGGTCCACTCACCCGCAGCCACATCGCGAATGAGTGCGTCAATCTCCTTGGCTGCAGAAGACGACATATCCTTGTCATTCAATGGTAAAAAAAAAGAATAAAAGAAAAAAAAAACAGGAGAAGTGAGCACTATGGCTGGTGGCGGTAGGCGAATGCAAGAAGCCAATTTGGTTCAAAACACGTTGTGGCGCGTCAGTCACCAAAGCGAATCAGAAAACAAGGCGGCGTTGCTGCCAATTTGTCACTGTGGGGAGACTTCCATGAATAATGCAACAAGAATAAGAAAGGACGCCACGTTTTGATTTGGCCCGCTGTCCGGCGTCTTGTTGAGCTGTGCCCCGCGAAGTTGGCGATATCGTGGACTGGACGAATTTCTTGTTTGAGCGCCTGTGGAGAAGCTGTCTAGCGCGTGCAGCTCTGCGCCGGCCAAGGCATTGGACTGCGACTTGGATGCACCTGAATAGGAGAGCAGGAATAGCAACTGTGCTGTGCTGTGTGTGTGTGGATTAGATGCGGCGTGTGTACGTGCAGAGGGTTGATCGAGGCCTGGACGGGCTAATTGGACCGATATGGAGCGTGAAGCGGCGAGCTGCCTTGCGTCGAGCTAGCGGCAGCATTGCATGTCGGTCGTGTCACAGTACGTCGCACTGTATGTATCTGCAAAAGAAGCATTTACCCCAGCACCAAAATCGGAACCATCTCGAGGCAATTCGCACAGTGCCGCATCGATGTGAAGCCCAACTACCTCTTTCATGCAGCTTGCACTCCGGCTTCAGTCCCGAGGCGTCATGGCGGGATACGGGCTATGCGAGGCGTGAGAGATGTGGTCAAGATCGTCTCTGCTTAATTTTAACCGCTGTACGAATATGCAGGAAGTGGCCATTTCGGTCTATCGTGAGCCTCGTGGGCCTCGTTGATCGCGACGTGGCAGGCATTAGTGCTGCGATATCATTGGACTACTGCAGGTACAGCTTTTGCATTTCAGGTCTCGTGGTAGGGCCCAGTGCCCATCAAACAGGACTTATACGCCTGTATTAGTAACTACCGCCCCTGCCTGCTATATGTGTCCAAGTATACAATATTTGGCTGGGCAACTTGGGTGCCAGCGTCGGCTTTTGGGGGAGCCGCTCCGTATAGTTGGGTAGTCTCAGCCTGTGATTGCCTGGGAGATAAAGCAATGGTTTGACGGAGAGTACTTCGGAGGCTGCGTATTAGTAACATTATCGTTAATCCGTAATAAGCCCCTTCAACTTACAAAGAGAGGCTGAAGATGCATACAAGTAGCAAATATCAGCTAGCAAATATAGATAGGTATGTACTAGCAAACAGATACGGGAATTGACTAGCTCATTTTATTACTCTCTTTGGCAAATGGTGCTTATCAAGGACAGTCATAGTGCCTTCACTTTCCGAATTCAACTCCTCGTGAAGCAAAGTCTCCTCCACATGATGCCTGTATAAGAGAAGAATCTTGAGATTGTCTCGTCTACCCTAAACTACTACCTAGATGGTGTTGGATCCTGCCCAATATCTACCAAATTGCTACCAAGCAGCCATCAAGCTCCGTTATTTTGCTAAATTTCGCGTGATGGCGGCGGTATTTACGTGAAAATCCACTTGATTTTTCGTTCTTGATAACCTTTGATTGGTGAACCTTGCCTGTTGCTTGGAAACCCTCTCCCAGAAGGCACCCCCTGCACGCCTGCCCTGTTTCCTCCCCTGCCGCTCTCTTCCCTACCTGCTAAAAAAAAAAAAAAAAAAAAAAAAAAAAAATTCAGATTCTCTCCAAACCGCTAAGCCGATGGGTTCCCCGCTTCATCTCTCTTTGTTCTTTGTTCCTATTACCACGATGCTCTTTGTCCCGCCACTGTACACTTCGCCCGGCATAGACGCATCATCAAGCCTTGGCTGCTACAAGCGGCACTACTCGCCGATCCTCGAAGCTCCCGCCGCCCTTCCCGGCACCGGCCCCATCATTCCGGCATATTCAACCAGCGCTAGGCCGAATACATACCCGCCAATGCGCTCTCTACGACTCAGTCTTGTACACATACGAGCAAATAACTATGCATCGCATTGCATGGTGCAGCTTAAAATTGGTCCATTACTTGGACACTGCACCTATCGAAGGCATTTATTGCTAAGTGGCCAGTGTATGCCCAATGCAATATGGGCCTCGTCCGATTGGACCGGTGATCAGCATACAAGAGCCCCTTGCGTCTTTGCCTGCTTGCCGGATTGTCTCTTATTGGCAACCGTATTGCAAGTGGGTGAAGCCACCCGAAACGTGAGATATTCTTTGTTATACACGTTGTTACACTGCATGAAAACCACTTTGGCGGCGAGACAGCAAAAGGGCGACGGGTATTTCATGGCAATTGGGCAGTTTCTCCGGCCTACATGTACACAAGCTCTATCCAAGTGGATGCTGCGTCTTTGGCAGTGAATGGCTTCCCAAAATAACCCTGGCTCATGCTCTCTATCGTTTCAAATCACTCTTGGGCATCAGTCGTACTTACACTGCACCTTGGGTACCTACATAGGTGCTTCGTATCTTTGACAACTAGCCACCAGCTTCACAAAACAACAATGTGCTGGCTCAACCACGTTTAGGCTAGGGTACAACTTGTTTGGTGCGGTGGAATTCTGGCAAACTCTCAAATAAGTGCTCTCGGTGGGTTACTGAGCCAAGTGGTTCCCTGCTCCCTGGCTGTGTTTGCTTTTGGGCATCCTTATGGCCCTTGTGTCCTCCTTATTTTATTGTCTGCTTCCATTTATTGGCCGAATTTTACGATGCAGCGCCTGCCTTTGCCACTTTTGGCACGAGCTTTCTCCCTCTGTTCCTATTCTAATAGCTCGACTTGATTTATGCTAGGGTCAGAGCCAATAAAGCAAGATTTATAAAAGTTGAGGGATTTCGCACAGTGACAGCCGCGTCTCAGCCCCATCTCGTCTAATGGACGCAATTTGCCAAATCCTTTGGTTACTGGTGGACCAAATGTGCAAGTTTTGCCACATCTTATGTTGAGCGTGTTTGAGTTTGGGTTGTATTCATGGTCAATCCCACAAAACCCCCACGCGGAGTTGATCCCTACCTTTCCTCCCCCTAGCCTCCCCTTGTGAGAATTATTTGTATCCATCGAATAGTCGTGGTCTCTTGTCCAGCCCAACCGTTGGATACTAGGCAAAGTTAGGGCTATCCCTACTCCATGTACTTATAAGGCATACTGAGCTATTTGGCATTATGGCGCCTGGCGGTCCGAGCCTTGTTCTTATCCATTGCAGCGCCTGCTGTACGAAGAGGAGCTTTTGCCATGAAATATCAATCGACGTGTTTTCTTTCTATTATTCCTCCAATTGATTTCACACAAGTATCGTCTGTCACATAATCTGGAACCCCGGAAGCAAGTATTGGGGAGCCGTCAGAGTGCTGTTACATCTCAAGAACGCTGGCCTCCTGGCCAATTCTTGTTCGTTCCATAGCCTAAATTGTGGCACCAGTTGATGAAGTCGCTGTACAACCCAAGAGTTCTACTTACTCGGCCCGTGTGACGCCTATAAGCCATCTTCGGAAGGCCTGTAGCATCCGCAAAGCTTGAGATTCCCGTATTCCCAGCCGACTGGTTATAGGAGCCATCATGTCCACTAGACCATTCTGGCCTGGCGGAAATACGCCCAGCTTATACCCCTCCGAAACTTCAGAGAGGCCTGCTGCCACAGTTCTTTGGGATTATCAGAATTGCATCCCACTCCTTCGAACTCCCAGCTGGGACAGACCTGTCACTCTTATAACCCCTGTCGTGGTGCCCCCGGCTGGTAATGATCCCGCTGATAATCGGGATCCTTTTGAGATATTCGGCCAGTCGCTTTCTAGTCGAGATATTCCCATACGGCATGTTCCATACACCAAAAACCAGTGTATTACTGGTGTCCATGTGGCATTCATCAGAAGAGCAGAGGTCGTTATCTTTGTGATTACTCATTTAGACGGCCCTGGGTTCCCGCTCCAGCTGGGATGTGCTGAGCTTGTGGCACAGATATGCGAATCACGACCTCTCATAATCCTTGCTTGCTGTCCTGTTGCCGGCCACAACATTCCTAATGCCTATTTTCGGACGCTGGTACATGTCGCTGGATATGCCAACCCTGAGCTACTGATTGCAGCCAATTTGTTTCTTGATGGCGGGGCGGGCTTGACAGCGCCATACGCGAACATGTCTGTACAGAACCAAGTATTGGATACCGAATCTGCATGGCCAGTACGGCCCTGGGTCGGAGAACGAGATCTATTGGAAACATGCGCGCTCTGGCAAGAATGCCTTCCTTACCCATTCCATCTCAACCCAGCGACTCTAGAGTCTCTCTTGAAGAGAGATGGCTACGCATTGCACTACGTTGTGCGAGATCCGGTTAATGGATCCTTGGTCGGATTTTGTGCGGCATATGCTACTTTCGCAGACAGCTTCGATGTTGCTCTGGTGGGCTCTATTGCCGCCGTCATTGTGCACACCGCCTATAGAGGACGAGGAATTGGCTCAGCACTCTATAAGGCCGCCATGAGCCGGCTCCAGAGAGTTCGAGGTGTGCGAAGATTGCACCTGGGGTCGACATTTCCTCGACTGCTCTGCGGCGTGCCGGCCGAGATGGATTATGTGGACCAGTGGTTTGAGAGAAAAGGTTGGCCTGTCAGCACGCAAGGGCACGAAGGCCAGGGTGGCCTTGTCGCAGACTGGATTCTTCGGTTCACAGACTTACCAAGCATGACAGTTTATTCCACTGGCCTGGGATTCAGGCAGTGCGTCGATTCCGATGCCGAGCAAGTGCTGAGTATCGAGCATCGCCAGCCTGCGACAAGTACTCACAGCCATGGCTGGTATGATTTGTATGCGCAGACATTGAGACAAGGGTATATAGGCGATGTTATTGTTGCATATGAGAACGATACAATAGTGGCTACTGCTATTATATACACGCCTGGCGAACAGAGTCCCGCGGCAGTTGATATACCCTGGCCGGCAACATTGAGCAGCAGTATTGGTGGAGCAACTTGCATATGCATCAAAGGTGAGTTTTAAGCTTCCCCCCTGATCCTTTCTTGACATCGATACGCTTCCTTTGACAACTTTATTTCGTAACTAATGATTGGCGGGTTAGATGCCAATAATTCACGAGAGATAATTCTCACTGAACTCATATTTGCTTGCTCTCGTGCGCTGAGCCAACGGGGCATGACAGGCATGTTCCTGGACGCAGTGTCTGCCGGACAGCGAGAGATCATTCCACTAGGTAAGCCTTCCGTAATGCTGGGCAATGATGACTTTAGTATTCTGACTTGGACTGCCACAGGTTTTCAAAAGTGGATGCAGTACAAGGATGTATGGAGAGAGATGTCGACTACTTAGTTGCAACTGGGGTGATTGACTACGTATTGCTATGGAGCTATATTGAGCGGATTGATGGTGTGGCTATGAAAAGAATCTCCTTTGTATGTCGTTGTCTCGAAGAAAAGTAAAGGTAGTTGGGTTTGTTGACCCACGTCTAACGTCTAAATATCAGATTGAGGCAATGTTTGTGTGAAAGTGAGCGTATAGATATATGATGCAATTAAGTTACTAATTAGGCATATGACTGCACAGGATGGAAGAAATTACTCGGGATGACAAACGTCTTTGTAAATTGGTATAAGTACTTGTACCTATATATATAGATAGAGTAGAAAAAGACAGCAAATGACTTTCGATCAAAAGCAACACAAAGACCAACGTAGAGAAAACAAATTTGACGTTGAGGAAACAAACTTTTGGACCCAGATAGATTTCCACCCTCCTAATAGTGTTAACGCCCACCGCTTCCCAAATCAGAGTTCTTTTATCTCTGATATCAAATCGATCGTCATCGTAAAAAAAAGGATAAGTGAGAAAAAAATACATGACGGCTCGCGCCTTGCAACAGACTGTGTGGCCCAGTCCAAATCGCTCTTTTTTCCTTTCCATTTTTTTCCTATCATGTGAATAATTTTTTTTGTATCCCAAAAAAATTAGTATTAGAAAAACATTCAACTGTACAATGTACAATCCCTTCATGCCCATTTCGAAAAGTCAACTGATTCAACGAGCGAGTCAATCCCATTTACCGTTCCAACTTCAGTGTCGTTGGTCTGGGCTGTTGATAATATTGACGAGCGATGGGATGTCTGCTCGCTAGTGTTGGTGAAGAAAGTGGCCACGCTTGTCCTCCGCAGGCTGTTGAAGCTATCTCGCACGCTGCTGCCACCTTGTTGAGCGGCATCTTGGAACGGCTGCAGAGGCTGCGGCTGGATAGGCATTGAATTGGCGAGGAGCGTCGGCGGTGAAGTTGAGGACACAGAGCCGGGCTTTGGCCCGTGTTTCTCCCGCAGCCGCTTGATTTCTCGAAGACGACCAGTCCATGAGCTGATATGCTCGCCTTCCTCCCTGTTATGCCACACGTGGGAGAAAACAGATGCATTCATGGCAAGGAGCCGGATGAAGGCCGGGAGAGCCTTCAAAGACACCATTTTAGTGTCGGATGCTGGCGAGATTGATGGAAAACCAGGCTTGCTCATCACTTGCACCGTGTAGAATTTCTTCTGCTCTGGATTCACCTCCCTAGCGGCCAGGAATGAAGCTGGAGACGCTGGCGTAATGACAATATTGACAAAGTTGAACTGGCTGGGGAAAGTGTCGAATTTGAAGGGAAGCCCAGAGTCGTTGAAGATGATATTGACAAAGTCATTACCAATGTGCCGCTTTTTCGCCACGCACAGCGAATCCCGTTCAAGATTTGTTGGCATTTGCGTCGTGACATGGAAGACAATCTCAGTGACCCTGTCTCTCCAGCAGAATGTATACTGCCCATCGGTATCGAATTCGCGATCCAAGCCCTGGGTATTGAAGTTTGCACCTTTAAGTTTAGTCAAGGTCCCAAGACCGTTGAGAAATTCTAGGTAGTCGTCGCTCCCAGATACGTTTGCCAGTATCTCGGCTTCTTCAGTCTGGCCTTCACCCATGTAGATAACACCGACCTTGTGGCCATCCAGACTAGAAAGGCGATCAAAGACTCTAAGGGTTCTTTGAGTGACATCGTCGTCTGGTAAGGGGATGGGTCTCGCGGAGTCGTGCGATTGCGGAATTGGAGACATAAGTTGCACCAACAAGTGGCTGGGCATGATTGAGTTGGACGTAGGCTGGCCTTCTCTAGTGATGTCGACATGATTCTCTATTTGATGAGGAGGGGGAGGTCGGTACGACTCGCGGACAGTGTATGCCGACGTGCCTGACGGTTGTCTCTTAATGATCTGAGCCCACCCAGACGCTGTGGCCTGCTTGACGGTCACAATACTGTTTCCAATTAACCACCGTTTGACTGCAATGCTGCCAAAACGATCTTCGGTGAAGTAAGGATCTTCTGCCGACTCATCAACATCTGCAAACGTGACCCTTTGCATAAAGTCGATCGACGTGACGGCGTGATCATCCATGGCATGTACAGGGCCATCCGTATCTGCAAATAGTTTCTTGGCGATCCAGCCGACTTGGTTGACACGGTCGGGTAACTTGAGCGCCAAAAACCAGAACAGGATAACATGATAAGCCAAGGCGTGAACATATTGTGGAAGGTCGTCTGAGAGAGCGGGCTGCGACGAATCTGACGCCGCTGAGATTGAACCACCAGACATTCCAGATATTTGTAGCTCGCCTACATGGCTGTTGCGTTGCTGAATCTGCTTCTTTTCTCTAGCATAATCCAGGTATCGGAAGCAAATCGCAAAGACGACTCTATACTCGTCTTCTCTGAAGTTGACGTATACATTGTGTAACCGACTGAGGCAGGCAAGAAATTCCAAAATGTGTACTGACACAAACGGTTGCGTGATGATAGCAGCCATCTGGTTCAGCATCTGGAGCAACGACCTGCTTGTTGAAAGTGGCAGCTCGTGACAGCATATCGACAGGGCGTGAATGCAACACTTGGCGCTCCTCTCCCAGGTAGAAATGCCATGGACAAACACCTTGACGATATCGTCTTCATCCGTCTTCTTAAAATGCTCATGGTAGCTGAGGATCATAGTTAGACTGTGATACAGGCAAATCGCTATATCGGCTCGGCGCAGGCCCAGGGCATTGGGGGGCTCTTGGAAACCGTTCAGCCGGATCTGATCGCATACCATTTGGCGAAGTTCCTGTATCTCCTTTATAGCATCTCTAAATATTGCGTGATTGCTCAGCTGCGATGGCAGATGCACCAAGACAAAGCTGTATATCTCCCAATCGCATCCTTTGAGCATATTCAAGACCGTGCTCAGCCAAGCCGATAGACTGAGAGCACAGGGCTGATACTCTGTCCTTTCAGCTGCGTGCTCTTCTTCTTTCGTCTCGTCTTCGACGTGAATATGGGATCTGAGAATTGGGCTATTCAAGGATGGGGCGGCTTCGGGCAATGCGTCTAGGTCTGGATACTTCCACATTTGACTCTGCCTGCTTCCAGTCTGACCTTGGCTAGAAGATACACCGCGGACTCCGCGAGATGACATGGTCGCTTCAGTTCTTGACAGACGAGCCATATTTGTCAATTCCTCGGCTTGCTTTTTGGCTAGCGAACTCTCTGTGCGAAGCAGAACAGTGGCAGTAGACATTGCTTCCACGCTGTTGTTGGTGATGAAAATTCGATTCGCCCAGTCAGCGCGGAGCCTGAAAAGGAGTTTCATGGCTGTCAGCCGAGCATCTATCTCGCAATGATCTAGCGCTGCAATGCTGACTAGTACATTGAATAGCTTCTGGCTTTTATCGTTGTGGAAATTCATAAGCCGCATAAACATACGGACATATCCCCTCGTGACAACATTTGATGGCGACTGTTCTACTGGTGATCTCGTGTGCTCGGCAGTCCCTGATGAACTTGGCCGTACTAGAGGCGATGTAGGCGATGCAATGGGTGACTTTAGTCGATTGCTGATCACAATTGCTCGCAATGCATTAATAACAAAGTCAAAGAGGTCTATATCGCATGAAACAACCACCGAGGTCATAAACGATATGACAGCGTCCAAGACCAAGACGTCTGCTTCTTCGGCAATATTTTCGAGTATGCTGTTGGCAAGGCGAGGAATAAAGTTCTGTTCGTCTCCGTCGCCAACCAAGTCAACAAGGTCGTACGCATCCATCATAGCTTGCAGAGCTCGTAGCCGCGTATCCGACGAGCGGGTCCGATTATTGAAAAAGCCGTCAAGTACAAGAGCTAAATTGGCTTCCCATTGCAGATCTGAAGGAGAGCAGCACCTGAATTCTTGAAAGTAGTCAAGAACAGTACACGCCGCGTTGTCGGGAAGAAGTTGATGCACACTGGCGAAGAACTTGATGACCGTTTGCCTCGGCACAGAATCACCCGATTTCTGTTTCGCCACAAAGTCAAGCCGAGCGATAAGTAGTTGTATTTCCTCACAGACGAGGCTATCCATGGACTCATCCCTTGGCCGGTCACCTGCCGCCGGATCGGTGGTTTCTTGGATCCTGCGATAGCATTCCGCTGCCGTGTCCAGCAGAGGAGACCAATCCTCCTCGAGGATTAAGCGGTGCAATTGCCCATTCTCGTCGCTGAATAAAGAGTTGATGAGGAGAAGGATGGCATAGTAGATTCTTGGCGATGATGAGATTTTGAGGGTATTGGATAAGCCATCGGCCAGAAGAGCGTATGGAACAGGAGGATATCCGCTTTGCTTAGTCTTGGACAGTAGCCTCCGCAGGACAGCAAGTGCACTTCTAAAGTCTCGCCCCATGTCTTTGCTGCTGACTTCATTGGCCGATGGGTTGCGCAGAACATCGAGCAGAATACGGACCGTCGCCTGGCCATTGTGCGAAAGGCAGAGATTCGACAGGGTATTCCAGGACTCGTCATTGAGGTTCTGAACAAGGCAGAAGATGGAGCTGAGGACTTGGATCGCGCTCTTGAGTTTGCTGCTGGGCACAGAACCAAAAGTTACAATGGCATCAATGACGGATATACAGGAACGCAAATCCTCTTCAACACTAGTACTCATGCAAATTTCGAGCAGACAATCAATTAGGTCCGATATCGACTTTTCATCGGCGGGGTTGAAGTTGAACTTGATGACATCCAGAATGAAGGCAAAAAGCTGCGCGAAATTCTGGTCTTCGCCAGTTGCAGCAGCTTTGTTCTTGGAGCTCCTTTGCCCGCGCGCGGCCTGGGAGGCTCTTCGCGCGGTACGGGCAGCATTATATGCATCCTGAAGCCACTTTGTGAGGAGGGGGAGCAGTTCATAGTCAAATCCAGCCAATATTCTACCGCGGTTAGTCAAGTCTACCAGCGCGGCAAGCTGCAGATGGAAATCATCGGGATTCGCCGGGGCGGCCACGGTCTGGAAATACTCTTTTCGCTCTAAATCTGTCGAAGAAGAGTGCTTGACACATTCCGTCAGCAGCTCCCAGCCGGCCTGCCGCATCGCATTTGGCTTGTTTGGTTCAATCATATCCTTGGCGGCGTACCAAATCTCGAGGACGGGGTTGAGTGGGTACCCGCTTATGGCGAATTTAAGGGTGTTGGCAGCCGATATGCGCTCGGATGGACTGCCATGCTTCAAAAGCTCGAACGCATCCATATGGTTTGCGGATAGGCCACGAGAGCTTATTGGTACGGCATTACTGAAGTCGGTTCTGGGGAGCGCCGCCGTCGACGACGAGAGCGGCGGCGGAGACTTGGTCGACTTTGAGCCGGTCAGGCCACGGAAGACGCTGGCGATGCCGCTGGGGCGTATGGAATCCGGCGACGAAACATCCTCTCCAGGCTGTGGGGACATGTGCTCGTCTTAGAAGGTCTGAGGCTTGGCTGCGAAGAGGGACTATGCTAGCGTGTAAGCACATGAGGAACTTGACTCAGTCGAACAAGGCCATGCAAGCGGGGGATTGGAGGGACATGAAGTAGTCGTGTAGCTTGGATATCTGACTGCTGCAAAGAGTGCTTGCCAGAGCTCGCAGGTACACAACGCTGGCGGGTTGCGCAACCGGAGCAGGCTATGATGGGAGTACGGCAGGCCAAAACAAAAGAATCAACCACTCACTCCTCGAGGACCATGTATCCTAGACAGGACATCAAGGTTCCTGCAGGTATATAAAGCCAGAAAGACCGTGGTGGCAGCAGCACGTGCGCGGAAAGAGTACGTTCGCAAGCAGACAGAGCTGTAGAGTCGGTGGTACAGCGTAGAAACAATGGGCAGGCAGATTGGTTTCGCAGCGAGGAAGGGAGAATGTCGAGGTTAGACGGTACGCCAAGAGGAGTCGCTATTCAGCTGAGGTCAAGGACGCCGGGCTGGGTCATCGGTCGGAACGGCGAGTTGGAACTGGAGTCGAGGGCAATGCCGAGCTGCAGCGCATCTGTAGAATGTTGTGATATGGGCGAGCCAGCAGAAAAGGGTATACAAAAGTTTTTTTTTCTTCCCTTCCCTTGAGGTGCAGGACGGCGAAAGCTATTGGCGTAGGGCAGGTCGTGCAGGATGCAGGATGACGGAGAGCAGCAGGCCTTTTCATTTGCTCAGGAGGCCTTAGGTAAGGGCCCTTGGCGCCCTCGAGCTCGCCCCAGCAGCTTTTGCTGCCAGCGACAGCCTGGGCACGGACCTCGGCCTAGCAGGTACATGCACCTGGACCGCGCCAGCTGCACATCACTGATCGCTGGCTCTGCCTTGTGGGCGGCGAAAACGCCCTAACGGCGCCCCAATGCCTCCCAACCCGCCACTAGACAGCGGTCCCGCCCGCCACGCCTGCGGGCAGCCACCTGATTGCAGTCTGGTGCCAAAGGGCTGAAGCGCAGCATTATCGCTATTAGCGCACACCTCAGGCTACTAGCACTTTCAAACGCGGCCTAGAGCCACCTGTCAATGACGGCGATAAATTCAGGCTTTGGTAATGGGAAATAAGGTGCCTACAAGGTCATGAGAGACTTGCTCAGATACCTCTGCGAGGGTCTGTGCACCGCTATTGGGTACTACTAATAGTAGTACCCCTTCAAACTACCTCGAGGTACAAACATCTTCTGAGGATGATATGCACCACGGCGGCAGTGTATCGTTGCCTGAGATAGACCTGACGGGGGTGCTGATGCTTAGATTCAGCGGCAGCTACCCGCGATGCCGATACATGTATTCAGCTGACGCCTCTGCCTCTCGACCAGCCATCTGGGAAGCGAGAGGAGCTCCACTGTCAAGGAATACGATGAAAGGAGACTTTCGTTTCGCGTGCTGTGCTTATTGGTGAAAACGCTCCCTCTCCTTTCTTTTCTATACCTAGGCATTGTTACATGTATATCATGGTTATATCCCCTTATCAGTCACAGCATCTGTCTGGGTGTCTCTGAAGGAGCTTGTGCACTGGAAGATTCGAGACAGTTCTCCACACTGTGCTGTGGCATGGGTCGCAAAGGATGTACGACCCTGGATGCTCGTTGGCATGAATTTTCTCGCCGCGTATGGCATCGGCCATGTCATTGTATCATCAAACAATACGATGGTAGCAACGCCGGCCACTGGTGCCTGCGTCTACCTAGCACTACTACCTACTCATTAAGAGTTATTGTAGCAAAATACATGTGGTGAAAATGAGAGAAGCGAAAAAATCACAGTAGATGTAGCAGTGGTAACAATCCAAGGCTCGTCTTCTGCGTCCATGCTGTGCTCCTTGCTCTAGAACAGCTCATAGTTTTCCCCATGTTATTGTTGCTTTTGAGCTAGCTTATACGCTATTGCTCTCGTATGTATAATCGCATATGCTCTCGTCGTGTTCATACGATGCCCCTGAAACTTTGCTTTTTCTGATGGCGTGCTTCAAGATCAAGCTATATAGACATAGAGCTTTGGGTAATAGCGTATGATTTTTAGGCTATTCTCTTTCAACTAATAGAAAGGAGTCGTAATAGCCGACTTATTGATCCATATAGCTTGATGGTGAATGGCATGGCAATTTTAGAGGTGGCCAGGCGTTCATGATTCACTCCTTTGTTAGCGTTTATATAATTCTTTTTTGCCTTTTTTTTCTTCTCCCGGTTTGCCCCCTGTCAAGATGAAATTAGCAAGTAGGATAGTCTAAAAATACTCAACACCAATTTCATGAAGTGTTGGGCAAACATAATTGACGTAGTGCCTAGCCTTATATTGTGAAAGCTTCGCTATGGATTTGAGCTTCAAGCTTGTGTAAATACATATCAATATGTAAGCTTCGAATATGACGCCTTTCCTAGCTAAGGCCCCTTCATATAAACTCCCTTTTGCATGATTTCCACTCAAGGGTAGATTCGCGGGTATGAATCATGCTCCAATAAGGTCAAGGAGAGAAAACAATGTTGTAATGTTGAGAATTGAACACAACACACCTAAAGATGTCTCAATGAGAAATTGTCATATAGGCTGTGATTAACGGGATGACTCGAAGCATATGGTGATGCTCCCCTAGTAATTGCGGCATCTTGTATGCCTGTCTCATCAACTAATAATCAGCAACATCGATCAAGACGACCTCATTTTCAATCTTTTCTTACCCTTTCACTCCCTTCCCGTCACATTGTGGTGTACGCGGGTACAAACGCAAAATAAAGTCAGCTTCCCAGAAAACGAACAATTTACTTCTTCGCCTTGCCCTTCTTCGCACCACCAGTCCGATTACTACTCCCCGCCGCAGCCTCCTTATCCGCCTTCATGTCATCCACATACGCCTTCATGATGTTGTGCAAGTCTGGATTCTTCCTCGCCAGCAGGAGCACGTCGTCTGTGGTGACGGTCGTCCTACCAGCATGATTGCAGAAAGTTTCTAGATCGATGGCGACATTTTCTGAAAGAACAGTAAGACGAAGTGAGTCTCTATGTACGTGTACATATACACATATGAAATATGAGATGCTCGATGTAGAAAGGTCTTACATACCAATTTGTGCCCAGACCATTTCGGTCAAAGCACCAATAAACTGGGGTGTCGCATTGCGGTTGCGCTTTAGAGATTCTTCATCGACGATTTGGCCTATGGCATACCAAAGGGCGGATTTGAGGCGCTGGATGTGGTTTTGCAGTGAGCTTTGCTTGATTTCATTCTTGTGAGGGGGATGCCAATCATTTGTTCGAATCTTACCTCGCGATCATCCTCGGGTGTGGTGTCGGCCATGTTTATTCGAAGGCTACAGTTCTAAGCTGCAATTAACGAGAGTGATGGAGAGAAACACACGAGGTTTTGCAGGTGAATCTAATGAGGGATCAAATGGGATTGAATGAATGCCGCAAGTCAAAGCGCGTCGCGGGGCGGCTGCAGCTGCACCGATACCCATTAGGCGCTAAACTGATGAGCGCTAAATCACCGCTAGGCGTGCCATCGTTGATACGAACGGTGACTTTCTTCAGGCAGTAGCAGCTCGCAATCATAAGATGAGAATTGGTAATATTTATTCAAATCAGTGCTGCTTTATTTACTTCATCATAGTCGTAACTTCGTGTTGGTCTTCGTTCCAAAACCTTGCATCCACTCCATTATATCCTATCCTAATATAACCATCCCTTGTATCTAAATAGTCCCATAAAGGCGCCGTATTCACAATGGTATAAGTAAACGACAAATATCGAACGTGGTTCTATAGGTTTGAAATAACCCCTTTCAGTGCCCTATTCCTTCTATGTGATTTGAGCGGGCTTCTTCGTGTAAAGCGACAGGCGGTTACCCGCGCCACAATACTCCAGGTCGTTGCCGCTGCAGAGCATGTTGCAGTCGGACGCGGCAGCCTCCAGAGAAGACAGGTCAAGAGCGTTTCCGCAGTAGCATTCGCTGCCATACTCGGTGCCAAAGTACTTGAACTCATCGCAGAACGTGGCACAGGCTTCATTCGACATGGTACCTGCAGCGCTGGCAGAACCAGTCAGGGCGCGGGTGCCGTTGCCTTCTGTTTGACAGCCGACAAATACAAAGTCACCAGCGGCAGCGGGCTGCTCAGGCGAGCCACCTGTAACGTTGGGATTGATGTAAAGCTCAAGACGGTTGCTGGCTCCGCAGTACTCGAACTGATTGCCACCGCAAGGCATGTTGCAATCGGCCAGAGGTGCAGTTGCGCTGGTGCTCTCCAGGAAGCTACCACAATAGCACTCATCTCCATATTCAGTACCGAAGTACCTATAATCTGAACAGAATTCGGAACAGGCCTCGTTCGTCATATTCGCTGCAATAGTGGCATCCTGGGCCAGAGCGCGAACGCCCTCGCCTTCCGTCCAGCAGCCCACCAGTGTATATGGGCCGACGGTGGGCTCGTGGGTTAGAGTGCCAGTGGGAGAGGGCGGCTGAGTGACAGTGGTCGAATAAAGCTCAAGACGGTTGCCGGCACCACAGAATTCACTGGCGTCGCCAGCGCAAACCATATTGCAATCACCAATAGGGGCTGCCTCACTGCTCTTCGCCAGCGTGTTACCACAATAACCTGAGTCGCACATGGGTTAGTCAAGAGCGATTCAAACAAGGCCTTCACGAAAATCAAAAGAAGATAGGATAAAAGATACTCACATTCTCGACCGTATTCAGTTCCCCAGTAGACGTAACTACTGCAGTAGTCCTTGCAGCTTTCCAAAGTCATCGAGTCGTTGGAATACGAATTACCGCTTAGTGCACGCGCGGCATCACCTTCCGTCCAGCAAGAAACCATTACATATCCCCCAACCGTAGGGCGGTGAGTGGGAGAAGCAACTGTCGTAGTGGGAGGCACTGTTGTGGGAGGTACCGTCGTAGGAGGTACCGTCGTTGGGGGGTCTGAGGTAATCGGGTCGCTGGTTGCTGGCTCAGATGTAGGGGCAGCAGAAGTGGTGGCCGGAAGAGTTGAGATGCTCGTCGAGCCAACAGATCCTGAATCGCCGCCATTGCATGTGGCAGGATTGGCAAAAGCACGGCAGGTACCACCAATGCCTGTAAGGGCCTTGAAGCTATCAGACTGGTCGCCGCTTATGACATCGACGTATCCCTCGTAGGCTAAGCCGCCCTGGATGGTGTAGTCGACATTGAACAAAGTATAAGGCCCGACACACTGGCCTTTTTGAAGGCCAACGGTGGTGTTTTGCAGGAGAGGAACTGGGCTATTTGTCTGTGAAGTCTTGTACCAGATTCTGGCCTGCGCACCTTGGCTGAGACGGTCGTTGCGAACGGCAGCCACAGCAGTCAGAGCACCAGAGGATCCAAGGACGCAGCTTTGGGGAGCCTGGAAGACGATTGCATCCTGGATGGGATACTCTTGGCCGTTGTTGTCGTAAACATCCTTGGTGCCATCGGCGTTGTTAACAGTAACGGTAAAGGACGAGATACCAGACGTGGCGAGGATGTTGGCCGCAATGGGATAGAAGTTGAAAGTATCGTCGAAGCCTTGGCTAACACCCTGAACGGTGGCGGTGACAACACAAGAACTGAGGCCACAGTCGGTGGTGCCCTTGCGGTTCTTGTAAGTGATGGATACGCTGGATATGCTGTTCTGCGCAAGGCCGGTCGTCTTGACGCGGATGTAGCCCGTAAGCTGAAGGGTGCTGCCGCCATTGATGAGAGTCAGCTGCATGTTTACAGGCTTGATCTTGTAAGGCACGATGGGGTCGGACAGCTTGACGCCAGGAGGAACAACTTCAATCATCTTTTGCAGCACAGTCTGGCAGACAGAGGTGAAGTTGTTGGCATCGGCCAAAGCCTCCATCGTCTGGTTACCATCGGCATTGAAGACCTTGAAGTCGGAGTTCATGCCAAGCTTGACTGAAGGACCGACAACAAGAGGGTTTGTGGTTTTCCCAGACAGATACTCAGTTACGACCTTGTTGTCGAAAACAGCATCAGTCGAGTCAAGGCTCCCTTCGCCGTCGACACCGGTCCCGCTGGGCACAAGAGTGGGAAACTCGGTGTTGTGAACACCACCCAGAGTGTGACCGCAGGCCGTGACCTGGATCATTTCTTCGGTATTGAAGCCCATGCGTTGAAACTGCTGCTGAAAGGTAAAGACTGAGTTTTGGGGCTGGGGCACGCCCACGGGCCCCGCCTGGGTGGCATCTATTCGGCCAACGCGAATTGGGACAGAAGGGCCGCCGCAAGAGCGAACGGATGTATAGACGCCCAAGGCGATCAAATCAGCCAAAGAGGATCGAGGAGAGAGGTAAGGACCCATAAACTCCAGCGTCGTCTTGTGGCCAGGGCCCGTGTTTTCACCATCGTTGAGCTCGTACTGGAGCGAGGCGTCGAGGCCACCAATGCCAAAGAAGGTGTTGGCCGTGGACATGTCGTGGAAGCCAACACGGAGCCACTCGGCAGCGTTCTGTCGGCCGGGACCCGAGGCCTCATTGGAGCATGGGCTCACTGTGTCGGCAAATTTGCGTGCGCGAAACGACTGAAGCTGGGTCATGATCTCCTCAATCTCGTCGATTGCGTTTGGCCATGTGGGATCAGCACAAGCTGAGCCAGCCAGGCCGAGGAGGCCCAACAGGGCAGCAGTCGACTTCATGGCGGGATGAATAGGAGGATTTCCGCTCAGATGTCTTTTTTTTTTTTCTAAATCGATTTTCTCGAATTGGCGTCAACCAAGGACTCGCCAATAATCAAAATGAGGATATAGAGGAGAGAGCGGCGTGTCAGCAACAGCTAAACTCAAGGACTGTTGTTGTGTAACCTCCTCTATCGACACACACGCACACGAGCGAAGTGTGGATGGCCTCAAATCGCAACCAAACGAGCGGGCAGACTCATGTCTTTTTGAAGAAGAACAAGAACAAGAATCAGAAGAAGAGTGAGAGGAAAAGAATGACATGGCAGAGTTTGCCGGAGGAGGGGCGTGAGGCTGCAGCAGAGTCGTGCGATGGATGCTGCACCTCTGCCGTTCGTCGTCCATGGCGTCGTATAGCTTCACAGCGTCGTCGAGCGCTGCAACGCTACGGCGCCGCAAAGGCCCCTGTCCCTTGGCCTCAGCCCGGAGTGGCGGCATCGCGGCCCTCGATTGGAGAGATGCTGACCGCAAGGGCTGGCTCGCTCAGGTGGTTCTCGTATTTCTGGCAGCCGACCTGCATTAGCCACGCCTGCAGAAGGGCCCTCATGTCATTGCCAGGCGGCCACAGCAAATTAACGTGCGTCGTGCGCTGGGAACAAAGGATAATCCACTGCGCCGGCTGCTTGGCCCAACCTTTTGGCTTCTGACCCCGGCCGTTTCTCGATTGTTTGTCTTTCAGTTTGTTTTCCACTTCTCTGTGATACCTGATCCCTGCGGGCTGAACGGCTACATACGCTCACTCACACTTACAGCTTGTTCCCCACCCCCGCCCTGCCGTGCGCTGGCGATTTGTACGGAGCATAGTCGCAATATTGCTTTCCGGGCCGCATCGATAGCCGCCTGTGTGCATGTGCTGTTTTTCGGGCTGCACGGCGGCGTGTTGGCAGCTGAAAGATGGTGCTGATGCTCTTTTGCCCTTGAAGTAGTTTCTTGGCGGCATAGACGAGATGAACCAGCAGAAAATGAGTCCACTCGCACACACGGCATGCAGCATCCGAACCGATATTGGCAATGGGGGCGGCGGCGTTGAAGACTCGTCTTTTGTTTCGTGCTTTGATAATGAGCTTCTCCAATGCCCATCTCAAACATCTCCAATCCTATTTGATCCGGTAGCCCACTGCCGCCGCCCTTATTCAGGTCCCGCGGCCGTCGAGCGGGCTAAAGCTGATGGCGCTCTGGAGGCTCCCAGCGAGGACTTACAGGATTGGATATCGCGCCAGCATTAACCGAATCGGCATGTAGCCCAGAGAGCTCGCCAGGGGTCTCGTGGTTGATTGATACTCTCGGACGCCAACCGTAGCGCAAACTTTCAAGCCAAGGGATGGAGTGCGGTGTGCTAGTTATGGTCAGCTTCCACTACTAATTGGTAGTAGCATTATCATCTGGTAACTCTCTTCTTGTGTAGCACAGCAAAAGGAAATTTCTACGGCTACACACGACAAGTACTTACGAGAACCGTTCCGACTTGGCTGTTGCTGTTGCTATTGTTCCCAACCATGGAACTGCAGAGGTAAAATCGCCAGGGTAACACAGGCAATAAATCACAGAATGGCGCCCCAGGGCCGTTGAATCACACCCAAGAAAGTCTGGACGCGTCTTTTCGCCTGTCCAGCTACATAACAATTGGAACTTGGGCTTCGGCGCTACGCCAACGGTGCCACGGGACAAGATGGAAGCAGAAGCGGAAGAAGGGAGAGGAAAGAGAGAAACCAATCTCTACGTGCTGCATCCCACTCCGCAAACGCCTCGTATCTTGGCCTCTGAATCCTTTGCGACTACTGCATATGCAGTGGATCGCGAGCAGTAATTTGTCCGCGCGTGGCTGCCTTGGAGGCCAGATTCATGCTGCAGCTTCCCAATATCTATGGAGTAATATCTGCACTCCCAAGGCTTTTTGGACGTGGCCTATGACGGATCGAGTCTCAAGGCCAGCCACCCGCGAGCCAATAAGCGCCAGGCTTTTCAATCATATGCAGGCCAGTTGCAGATACGGACAGATGCTGACAATAGGCTTTTCAGACTGGCTGTCTTGGTATTTTCGCTGTGGCTCCACACTCCAAAGCATCTTTGATGTGTGGCACGGCAGATGATTTGCTCTTGGCCTCTGGTTATTTCCTCGTCTTCTTCTTCGGGAGTCAGTACGCATCAGCTATGGCCTAATGGGGTTCTCGCGGATTCAGAGATACGCCACTTTGCAGAGCGGCTGGATCCTAGACTTGGAACAAGTCCATCAACGATAGCTTCCAAGGGGACCCGTTTTCCTGCATCGGGGCGGCCAGCGAGCCGTAACCCGGCCACACCATCTTTGCTTTCACGAGCTGCCTTTTTGCCAGATCCCAGCCGTTCACGGGCCATCGCTACAGAAATGAGCAGAAGTTTTCCTTCTAGATTCACCAGCCCTGCTATACCACCATGGTGATCGCAATGTAACGTATTTGACGAGTCTATTGAAAAACATGCAGGCTCGGTCTCCTTTTCAGCAAGAATAAGAGATTCTAAAACCACAGACCCCCACAGTACTGCAAAAAGGTGATTCTCAAGCTCAAGCACTGAGCCTTGATAGTCGGCTTGCATGACTTGTTAGTTCGGCCCATAGAGGTACCGAGGACGCCAAAGCCAGGGTCCTCATCTGGATCAGCCTCACGACTCGGAGGGTCGCCAAATACTAGGTGGTTTCGCTAAGCACATTTATTCCCGAACGGATCATTGAGGCAACGTACGCGGTGGTATAAATGAAAAGTGACCATTCATGAAATATTGCTTCCTTTTTCGGCTCTCTTCGACTTTACCCGCGTGCTACATTCAGCTGGATGAATAACATCCTATGGAGAATCGGGACACCTTCGGGGCATTACTTGTCGTTACAAACAGCGAGATAGGCATTTTCAGCCATGACTAAATTCACAATTGTCAAAACTCCGGTTCAGCATTTTCCTATGCCCTTGTTTAGGGCGTGGTCTAGATCTATGTTTCTACCATCTCCTTCTTGTTCCCTTCTAGCTCTATCAGCTTGCATGCGCAGACGTCAAGCCTGCCGTATACTCTTCTAATATTTCGTAGGAAATATTGGCCCCTCCGCAAATCACAAGCACAACGACACTATTCTTGTTAAGACCGGGAACCAGCTCCTTCAGCTTGCCGCCGTATACCACCGCGGGGACAACCGAGCACGACAATTCGACAAGGAACCGCTCTTCGCTGGCGAACCGCTTGCTTGCGGCAATGGCTTCAGCATCAGAGACGACAACCGTCGAAACTTGTTCTCGGAGCCCGTACTCAAAGGCCCTCTTGCAGACCGTCCTGGCGCCCAGCGTGGTGGCCAGGCTTGTGATGGCAGGCAGAGTCACAAGCTCACGCTTTTGGACGGCCTGGTAAAGAGAGTCGGCGCCCAACGTTTCAACAGTAATGACTCGGGTCTTTTGCATGGAGAGGTCGTCAAGGCCCTGCATCAGACCCGAGAAGAGGCCGCCTCCGCCCACGCTGCAGATGACGGCGTCGACGTTCTCTATGCGTGCTGTCGGATCATGGTCTGATTTTCCATCAATGGATACCGGATAGTGTCTGGTCATGGTAGGAATTTGCCTCGCAATCTCCTTTGAAATTGTCGCATTCCCATCCCAGATCTCCTGGGCGTTGAAGGGAGGCACATAGATGGCAACCTCGCCCTTTGCTCGGGCTTGCTCCATGAGAGTGCCCGTCAAATACTCATCGGCCTCTTGCCATGAAGCCCCCACTTGGATAACGTCTGTAGCGCCGGCCTGTCGCATCTTGTCTATCATGTATGCTGTAGTAGACATGGGAACGACAATAGTGGCCTTGCATCCTAGAGTGATGGCGGCATGGACGCAAGCAAGTCCAGCGTTTCCTCCGGATGAGCAATAGAAGTGAGTATTGCTAGGATCGGATCGATGTTCCGCCAGCTTGGCCACCAGGTAGTTGCCTATGCCGCGGGACTTGAAGGACCCTGAGGGCTGGAGGTTTTCCAGCTTGAGGAAGACATTGCTGATGCGATGTTAGCGTTTACATTTCCCAATAGACGTTTTCTAGAAGATGGATTATATGTGCTTACCAGCCGGCTATTTCTGAGAGAGTTGTGGATTTAATGAGCGGCGTTTCGATATAGGGGACTTTGGTATTGATTGCAGATCCCATTGTTCCTGATTATGTAGATCGCCTTGTTGATGCCTGATGCAGACTGGTTGAACCCCAATTGGCACAGCTTTTAGTTCAAAGAGAGAGCGAGGATAGCAACAAAGATTATTTAGTGAAAAAAAAAAAAAAAGAGCAATATCAAGAAATAAGTGGTATCTTGAAGTTTTTCATTTACTTCTTTCTCACCTTCTTTACGAAGTATTTAAGGGTGATATTAATCTAGATACCGAGATGGTAGTCTAACCATTCTGCATATTTTGCACTACCGCTAGTGAGGGGCCGACCCCGGAGAAGCGCTTAGAACGTTCTGCTGTACCACTTTTTGTCGTTCCGCAGTCATTTTTGCAGAAAAGATTTCAGCCCTTCCGTCTACATGTACATGCGCCTTTCCGAGTCACACAATGTTCAATTGATTCTACATCCAGGCAGCAGAATTCAAAGGCCAGAGAGGAAGCATACACTAAGCCTATGCGATGAAGGGTCAAACTGACTACAGCACAGTGAAAACGGTTCCTTGCTTTTACCCTTTTCTTTTTAAAATGCTCCACGGTGCCTTGTTCTGCGATTGATCGGCATCTACTTTATGCTCGCGTCGTTGAGTGGCGAACAAATGAGCATCATCGCGCATGTCTTGCCCTTGCAGGTAACCTCTCCGCACAACGTGGTCGAAATGTCTTGTCTCGCAGGCCAGTTGCCTTTTAACCAGGTACGCACGACCTATTTATGGCACATGGCCGGCTAAGAGACACGCTTTCGTCACTTACACAGTGAGACATTCCCACCGTGTTCGTCCTTCTAAAAGCAGCTGAAGACCGGCTTTGGACAGGTACTTGTGTTGCTGAGAGGGAAAAAGGCCTCCCATTGTACACAGAATTTTCGGAGAATCTCCATCCGCGCCACATTGCCCAGTAGTTCTGCTTTAGTCTGGCAGAACTGGTAGTTCTTCAAGAGCTGAGCCGAAAAATGGCGATGCTATGCCCAGCTGCACAGCCACCATCCTCGAGGCTGCGCGTCTTGACATAGACTGACCTTTCGCCTCCAATTGCTCAAATGCTCAAAGAATTCGAAACACGATGGAAATATAGCTGCTGTATAATAGATTGGCATTGCCATGTTTGCAAACTCAAAAACTCGAGCTGCTCATCCCAACTCTACGTAGATCAAGCGACAATCGATGAAAACGCTTCATCAACTGACGTAAGGAGCGGTACCCATCCTCCCACTTTGCTTGTATCCCAAAAGTCGCCTCTCACAGCACCTTCACCATCTTAGTGCAGCCAAACCCAGCCAGAACCAGCCGCAGCAACCCGCGAGGTACTGCCTCAGCCACAGCGCCGGTACGCAGTCCACTAACCTGATTGAGTACGTCATCCTGTGACGAATTTGGCCCCGCCACAAGCGTGTGAGTGCGCTCCGGAGAAAAGATGGTGAGAAGGTGAAGGATGGAGATCATAGCATGGAAACGGGTTGTTTGTGGTTCTTTGTTCATTTTTTTACTTCATCCACCCACTGACTGACTCGCTTTATTTCCCTCGCTGCTTTGCATATTAGCTGAGCTCTCCTCCGCCCGGCCTTTCATTAACCCTGGCCCTTTCAAACAGTTTTCTTTCTTCTCTCTACCACCTGTAATCCGTCCTCTGACCGAGAGTTACACCTGACATACACATCACACCACCAACTTGGTTCTTATACTCGTCACACCTTTTCTTTTGTTTCTCTCATTCAGCAACTCAACTCGCACAAAAAATCAACACATCCATCATGGGTGCTAGATCAGGCTTCGGCCTCAAATTCCTGCAGTGGTTCTTCCGCGGCATCCAGTTCTGCTGCAGCGCCATCATCCTCGCCATCTACTCCTACTTCCTCGCAACGCTACACAACCACAACCTGCCCATCGCCACCAGCCTGCGAGCCGTCGAGGGCATCTCGGGCGCTGGAACTCTGTACACTTTGCTGGCGCTGCTCATGCTGTGCTGCCTTGCCGGCCACACTCTGACCGCCTTTGTCGCTGTTGTGCTCGACATTGCCTTCATCGGCGCCTACATCTACGTTGCCATTGCCAACAAGAATGGCGCCAGCAGCTGCACCGGCGTTCTCGATACGCCTTTTGGCAAGGGCCAGTCGTCCAGCACAGTAGATGGGGATAAGGGCTTCACCAAGCTGCCCAGCTTTCATACCGCCTGCAGACTGCAGAGCGCAACTCTCGCCGTTGCCATTATCGCAATGTATGTTCCCCTAGAATACTCATTTCAAGGCAAAACAAAGAAGAGAAAACTAACATCCTCTCCAGCATCTTCTTCGTCTTTTCCATCCTCATGGAGTTTGCTCTGACTCGCCACCACCAGAAGGAGAAGCGCTACGGCCCCAGCCCGCAGAACGACTACACCTCTGGCTCCGGCCACCGCAAGACCGGAGGCTTCTTTGGCCGCTTCTTTGGCCGCCCCAAGGCTGATCCCACCGAAGAAGGCAACATGCTTCCCCAGCACACCCTGCCCGACCAGCTCAACGCCGACGTCGACGACAGCCCCTACAAGCACGACGGCTACAACAACAAGTACGAGTCTGGCTATGGCTACTCCGGCGTCACCGGCCCCACCACGAACACGGCATACATGGGTGCTGGTGGCTATGTGGCTCCACACGGCACGGCTGGCTACGGGCAGCAGAATCCCTACCACTACGACGATGGCGTGTACGACTCTCGCCATTAAGCCCATTTATATATGAGTCGTACCATTAGTAGTGTATTATCCTTTTGAGGAAAAGTTATTCCGGATAGTTACAGTACTTGCTACTGATGGGAGACGAAGACAAGCAGAAATGCCTACCAAGAAAAAAAAAAAACTCGTCAAAAAAAACTATTTAAAACTCAAAGAAGATGAAATCATGAAATCAAGAGAAGCAGAAGCTGTATCATTGTATGATCACGAGCCAGAGGAAGAAATAATACCCTTTTTTTTTTATGTGTGATTAAAGAGACATATGGCTGGGGAGGAGGACTGTATCATCACCTGGAACGAAATACTATCAAATGTTATCTAGAAGTAGCCTCACAAATGGGCAAATAAGAAAAACACCGCAGAGGGTATGACTCGTCAACCTCGTATTAATAAGTAATAACATGACAATTTCAATCTATACTTGGGAAGAAATAGTGAATTGAACATCACAACGGCCCTTTTTCCACTCATGATACAGAGTTGGAAACAATCCACTGCATTTCAATTCTATAGTCAATAAGATGGTTTATTTTAACTCGCTCAGCTATAGGAAAGGGGAAAGAAACAAACATTCATGCCCACGCTCTACGAAGCGAGCACTACCTCACCGTGAAACACCTGCCCCCTTCTATCAACATAGTTAATGCCGCAATATATATATATATGTATGCTGGTTGCTCTCATACGCTTAACACACTCTCACTTACTCTCACTCGTAAGAAAGAGGAAAAAACTTGTCATCGCTTTCCATTAACCCCATGTCGACTCCCCATGATCCATCTCACTCATAGTATCATCAGCATTGAGCATCAGATCACTCCAATTCAAGTCCACCTTCTCCAGCTCCCTCGAGAAAAAGTCCTGCTCTTCCCTCATCGCGATACGAATATCTGCCGCAATCTTCTCAGGATATCTCCGCACATTCAGCCAGTGCGTCAAGCTCCGGAGGGCTTGCTCCAGGGGCAGCGCCGAGTCCACCTCGGCGTCAATGTCGCTACCTGCGAGCCACTCGTCGCGGAGCTCGGGCCGGCAGTGGAGATAGACGGCTGTGATGACGCGCATGTTGGACTGCCTCCACTTACGGCCACAGTACGGTACCTGGCCCTTGAAGAGCTTGAGCGTGTAGAGTCGAAGCTCAGGCTGGGGTACCCGGAGGGACTTCTTAAGAATGGTGGATGATTTGTACTGCACGAGCAAGAGGTTGCGGTGCGCCTTGTTCTTGCAGATCTTTTGCATCACCCTGAGGTAGTTGATTAGAGAAAAGAAGTTTCTCCTCGAGAAGTCGGTGATGGGCTCCAGCGGGAGAGAGCTGAGCGGCAACCCCATCTCGTCGACTTCTGGCCTCATTGGGACGGGGTACTCCCCATTGACTGCAATATCCTCCATATGGTCCACTGCTTGGTCCACGGGTTCCTCCAACTCTCGCTGCCTCCTAATTGGCGGCGGTGCTGCGTCATCTTCGCTGTCTTCTCCTTCTGGATTTCTATCCTTGTTTTCTTCTTCGCCGTGAGCCTTTTCTTCTAGGCCTACTTCTTTCTCCCCCTCGTCCTCGAGATCGCTCTCGGTCTTGTCCTTAAATTTCGACCGAATGTTGCAGAATTGGAAGAAGCTGCTTACGCGGTAAGTAAAACGGAACGTCGCTACGAGTGCATCATTCAAATTGAATGCTAATCTTACCTGTTTTCAACATGATCCATCTTGCTGTCAACTACTTGTTGAATGTCCTGATGTGCAAAGAGCTTGAGAACCAAAGGAAGATAGTTAGAGTCTAGTAAAAGCTGCGTCAAATATTCAAATTTGAGCACATCTACATATTCACCCTATTATTAGCTTAGTAGTTCTTGATACAGAGCATTCCGAGCACTTACGTGAGAGTCTAAGCCATTTCAGTAGGAGTAAGAGAATGGCTGTCATGGCTTTTGAAGTAATCTCTCGTGTCCGAGTAGCATCAATCTCTTCAGGAGTCGGCTCTCCTTCTCCGTCGGCTTGACTTTGTCCATCCATGCCCCTCTGTGATCCAGGGCCGCCATTCATGCCAGGGTTATTGGCCCTACTAGTCATTCCTGCCATCTGATTCTGCTGCTGGGTCACAATAGCCGTAACATTAACCAGGATTGGACGAAGCAAAACAATCACAATAGACTGAAGATGAGGCAAGGCGTTGGCCTATGAGCAAGGGTTTGAGCATTAGTTTTGGGTCAACCAGAAAAAAAGGGGGGGGGGGAGCAGGCAAGCAGTCCGGGCACACTTACGTAGAAACGCTCCACCGCAATGAGACGTTGTTTGTCTCTCTCGCTCAGTTTCTCCGGATTGGGTCCCAAGTCAATCTCAGGGCCTGGAGATGAGCGTTCCTTCCTTTTCTTCTCCTTGTTATCTTCTACTTTCAGTTCGCGCAAGACTTCTTTCTCCTCCAGCGTGAGCTCGCTAAGGTCAAGGTCCTCAATGTCATCGTTTTCGTCATCATCTCCGTCATCATCCGTCTCCCAGCCGCGTTCAAACTTTAGAAATCGCTCTCGCTCTTCCCAGAGTTGACGGGTCGCTCGGGTCATCCTGACGCGTGAGGAGAAAAGCTGCCCTGCCTCGAGGATTGAAGCGGGAATATCGCTTCCCTCCCATTTTCTAGATACCAGAGGATTGCCATATCCAGCGCCACCCTTCCCACCAGCACTGTTGCTGGTGGCATCTAGAGGAGGATACATGAAGGGGAAATTTTGGTTAGTTTGGTAGTTTTGCTTCTTACCGCCCTTACCACTAACGCCCGGCGACGGCGGAGGTGATGGAGCCGGGGTGGCAATATGCACCGGTTGATTGAGGATAGATGCTCCTCCCATTTGGGTGTTAGTCGGCTGCGTGATGATTCCGTTGGAACCATTTCGAGTCATGATATTAGGAAGAGGTGGGAGAAGCGACGGATTATCAGCTTCTAGAGGTATTAACGGCTGTGGAGGGACATAGGCGGGATATTTCGATGTGATTTCCTGGCGAAAGACGTGGTAGTCTAGGGGGTTTGCCGTGATTGTGTCCTTGTTCTTGTCACCAACCAGCTCGCTGGTGGCCTCCTTGATCCGGTCAAGGTCACCAGTGCCACCAAATACCAGGAGAATGGACTTCCAGAACAGCAAGAATATCTATACAATTTATAGTCAGAACATACCCTGGCCACGTGCTTGCACAAAAGAAGATAAGGCTTTGGAGTCTTTACCTGAGTATGGGGCATAGTATTTTGCTCGTCCCATCTGAGTTTGGAAATGGCTAGCATAAGAAAGTCAACCAGCGAGGGGTTCAATTCAACTAGCCATCTCATGTTAGTTACGCTCGCCAGAACAAATTGAAACATGGGGTGTGTGCATACGCAATTTTCCATAGGTAGGAGACATTTCCTCGGGATCGTTCAATGTCTCTTGAACAGCAATATACATAATTGTCAAGAGATTCATCAACTCGTCCTGGGCATCTTGAGCATTTGCCTGCTGAATATCGCCAGACCTATCCACATTAGACTGCATCTCATGTTTTCAAGCACGGGCGCCTCATACCAGTGAATCTCGAAGACATTCTTCAGTGCCTCCCAAACGGCCGATAGGCCATCGAGCGATGTGAAACATGTGACTCCAGCCTTGATCGCTTGCAACTGCGGGATGCTTGCAATGGATCGACTCGTCTCGTCCGTCGCGTAAGGCATTGCCGTATCTCCCCACCTACCCAGCACCAGGTACATAATCTTGCCAATCGAGGTTGCCCTCAACGCCGCATCGTCTGACTGCACGCCCGCAATGGCAGCTTGTACAAACTTTGCTCTTGTGTCGTGGTCTGCGTCGTCCCAGCCAAGCTTGCCACCTGACTCCTGATTCCAGTGCCATTCAAAGGCCTTTTGCGCCGCGTTAAGACGCACCCACTGCCAGAACTGGTACACGAACCACTCGTCAATCTCTTCGGCATGCGGGCCCATATCTTCGTACACAAAATCGTATGCCGCAGGCTCGGCAGAGTTGACTCCGGCCACGATGCGCCGCAGCTGCATCAGGGAGAGAGAGTCGGTGGGAGCATGTTGCGGTATTGGTGCTCCACGGTTTATATTATTATTGTTATTAACATTATTGCTGCCGCCCGGGGTCGAAGCAGGAGGTGCTGCCGAGTTATAGCCCGCACCACCGCCCTGCGCATAACGTTGCGATTGTTGTTGGGACTGTTGAAGGGGGGCTCTGGCAGACGAAAGCGGCGGCAGCATTGGAGCTGGAGATGGCTCCGCCGAGTCGTCAATAGCGGAATCATCTGGCGAGAACTCGATTGGCTCTTGTGTCGCGTCGTTAGAGGCCTCATTAGAGGGCCCCTGGGCCGTTTTCGCCGAAGACCACAAACTATTCATCATGAGGTGGGCTTTCGATGGGACGTGGCGGTTTCTCGATCCGTGCAGCGCATTGCGGGGTGCCGCCAAAGATTCCTCTCCAGTGGAGGTTTGGTTAATCCATGAAGACTGTGATATACAGTTACCGGAATGCAGAATAGGAAGATGCTCGCTGGGCAGATGCTATCGCGTGTTGGTGCTGGTCATGTGCAGGTGATGATGATATGCTGCAGCTCCAGAATCAGAGGACGTTGGAGCTTTCTGATAAGGTGGGTGCTTCAACTGGAGGGGCGCTTGTTTGGAGCTCCCAGCGCAGCTCCAATTGGCTGGGCGACCCCTCATGTCCCCCCTGAGGTGCTGCGGCACTGCTCGCTGGGGCTGGGCGGGTTAAGCGCTACAACAACAGCGAGTTCATGTAGGTATTTGATTGATATCTTCTGATATCAGCTAGAAAAAAGAATCAACATTGATTCAAAAAGCGTCATTATTGTTTGCAACTTGAATAATATTCTAAGCGCTTGAAAATATATACCAATTATTCTTATGTGCATCATATATACAAAGTAATTCGCTCCTCTTACTCTTCATCAGACATATCCTCGTCCGATTCACCACCAGCTTCACCCCCTCCCCCTTTCTCAGTCTTTTTCTTCGCCCGTCTTCTCAACTTCTTCAGTCGATTCATCCTCTTCTTCTTATCCTTTACATGCTCCTCCTTCTCAGCCCTCTTCTGCTTCGCCGCCTCCTCAGCCTGCGCCTCTGCCCTCGCCTTGATCCTCATCGCGGTTCGACGCTTCTTCCCCGGCCGTTTCCTCTTCGCTGGTTGATCATCTTCGACATGAGCCACGGCTTCTGCTCCTCCTCGCCCTCGTTTGATGGCAATTTTTCTGGTTGCCTTGATCGTTGTAACTCTCCAGGGGAGCTCAAGTCCCCACGCCCTCACTTTCGATCGCTCAATGACGTCTTCGCCGCTCACGGCTGCCATCTCATATTGCTGTTTCTTCTCGGGCGACAATTCCGTCACCAAATAGTATGATAACGGCCGACCCCTGATCATTTTGCCTTCCACGACTCTGTTCATGTTTTCAAGAACAACTTGCGGCGCCGGACCAGCCGCGCTGAATAGTCGGAAAGCATAAACTTCATCGTCGTCTTCGCCGCCTTCTTTGGCTGGAGAGGCCTCGGCTGGCGTCTTTGGCTCGCTTTCTTCATCGGAGCTGAGCTCCTCATCTTTCTTCCTTTCTTCAACCTTGGGTTTTGTGACAATTGGCAGCGAAGTAGTCTGGAGCTTCGGCGCACGAAAGGCGCTCTCATCTAGCCCAAGGGATATGGCGATTTGTGCATTAAGCCGTGCCTCCAGCTCGGCATCTGCTTCGCTCTCACTCCATGAAGACTCTTCCGATGCATGCAAGTCTTCTCGACGAATTCTACTTGATCAATTAGCCTTCAAACATCTACAATAGGCAAGTATGCAAGTAATAGAGAGGGAACAGCTCATACCTCTTCGCATCAGGTACCTCAAACATGGTGACTTGCTTCCAGTAAGCCAACAAAAGTTTTTTTCTCAATCCGCCCAATCCCGAATCTACTAGATTTAGACGTGCTCAATCAGTTGTTAAGAGATACGATATCAAAGAAGGAAATGAGATGAAACAAATGGGTATAGTTGAAAAAAGCGCCACTCATCAGCACAAATGTCACCGTTCAATTACTTCCAAACCAGCATAAAACGAGGCTGCAGACGGAAATGCGTCGCCGTCTTCTCATGGGCTTATCTTATCGGGCGCCATGTACCCAGGTACCCCATACGCCACTGTTTTGAAGTACAGCTTTTGGCGTACTTTCCACCGGGGGGCCACCAAATTGAACTCCAAATACAGGTACCCACCCACCCACACATACCTAGAAACACCAACACCCATATCAAACCTTGCACCGCTGTAAATGGCAGCAGTCAAGCACTCGACGCAGCATCCCGTCCACATCCAACTCCTTTCGTATCTATTTCTGGATTCAGCTCCTATCTCTCTGGGGCCCAGATCATGACCCCGTAACCTTCCCCCCCAACAGTCCACACAACCAGGAAATCAGCCAGGAACAAACTCCCAGCATACAGGGAATAAAGCATTCCTTGGCCCCCACGCCCGGAAAAACCAACTACAACAAAAGAGAAGAGAATTTCGATATGATCCGTTTTTTAATCTATTTTGAATTTATCCCCCTCCAACACCATGCCGTCGCTCGAAAAGGAGTAAGCAACAAAGAGCCTTGCCGAGTTTCTGCATGTACTACATTGTTTATATTAGCCTAGGGTCACACCTCATGCAGCCCTGCAGTAGTAGACAATTCACGCAAAACGAACAAAGGTACAGCACGTTAGAGAGAGGCTTTTTTCCCGGGGCTGTTCTTAACTCCTCTCTGTCTCTTTTGCCCCTAGTTCAACGCCAAGTGCTTGGTGACTGCAATCACTCTGAATAATGTACATCACATTAGTAGTTCGTCATTTAACAAAAGTGCCATTGGCAGGTATCTCGTGTACAACCTATTGCCGCCCAATCAAAAACCCTTGGAGAAAAGCGCTCATCTCGCTAACTGGAAAAAATAACAACGAGAGAAACAATCAAAATCAACGATCAGCCCATCACAGCTCGCCATCGTGGTATCTTTAGTATTGTCAAAGCAGATACCTGAACCATAACATCATACCAATGGACCCAACAACCGAGTTTGACCTTGACGCCGCAGCAGATGAATCATATTTTTAGCCACCTTTCCAACCAACTGCCAATCCAAAATCCCTAAATGTTTTCTAAATATAATATAAGTAGACATACACACACACATACATACATCTACACGAACAAGAACACGCATGTGTGTATGTGTATCTGTGTGTATATATGCGTACATGTACATAGGTAAGCATAGAAAAATCCGTGAAACAAAGCCCCCGTAGCATTTGCTGCCTATTTGCGCCGCAGAACCAAAGTGTCATTGCACACATGTCCCAGTCCATCCTAAGTAAATAAAGATCCCTAGTAATATACAACCAAAAGAATCAAAAGGTAAAAACAATCAACGCTCTGAAACTGCTTGTCGAAACTGCCTCACATCTGAACATCACGTTGCAAGCTCCTTAGCTTGCAGTCCATGAATAATTATGCATGGGCTCAAACGACCCGCGAGGTTCAGGTTTCACTGAGGATCCAGTTGCTGTCCCCGCCTTATAGGAATCGTGGGAAAATGGATATGGTCTCGCATCAGTCGTAGTATAAGCTGCTGTGGAGCTATTCTCGCCGGCGACGGTGGTAGACCAGGCTTGTGATGATGAATAGTATTCTCTAGAAGGATTTGATCCTTGCGTCGTTGATCCATACCGATACTCGGGCGATTCGCTGTTGTTGACGGAGTTGGTAGCATGAACAGACTGCTGGCCGCTGTGTCTTGGACTCTTGTTTGGTCGGCCGTTCTCGACGTATCTGGGGATGCTCAGAGTGCTGTCCTGGCCACTCACGGCTGGTGTACTAGCCGACAACTGGGATCCGGAAGTTTGCTGTTGCACATAGGTATACTGTCCTCGAGTTGGTGGTTGCTGCTCTAGTGGCAAGGATGATATCGTTGACTGAAGCGGCAGCTCCTGGGGATCCGGGCTAAAGGTTGATGCAGTAGGCATGGGAACTTTAGAATAGGTATCGGCACCCATCGTCGTCGCTGAGTAGCTTCCTGGTCCCGAGGAGCCGACTTGAGAGATGGACGTGTTGCTGCTGCTAGCACTCCACGTTGGATATGGACTTGAAAGTTGTTAGCTCGCTCGAAAGATAACCCAGCCACACAACTGAAAACTCACTTGGTAGGTCTCATTGAACCCAGTTGCCCGCTTCCTGGTACCTTGGGAGCGCTAAAGGTAAAGTTCGAGCGTGGTACTTGTATGTCCACACTTGTTCTCTTGAGCTCTTGGGGCTTTGCGCTTAATGCGCCCGCGACAACTCCCAGGCCTGTTTCTACCAAGGCTTGACCCCTTGAGCCAGCGCTTGACCCCAGCAGAGGGATCTCTCTGCGGGCTTGGAAATTGCGCGGGCTGCGGCCGCGCACTACGACTGGGGCAGTGGTGGATTCTGTTAAGACAACTTTGGAGTTGTCAGACAAAGTTCCAAACACTTTAAGGTGAAGCACAAAGTGCTGTTGAAGCTCCTTTCGTCGACCGTTGTTTGCAGTAGCACTATTACCTGATGTCAGAACTTTCCTCAAGAATGGAGGGGCAAGCTGAGGGGGAAACAAGTCTTGGTGAAAGAAAAACTTAGTAGCCAAGTAAACATACATTCTAAACTGGAGTCGACGCCAACCAATAGGATAGACAGCATAGTCTCCTTCGGGCTCAGATCCATCATCTTGGAAAGGAATCAAAGGGAGGGCGGCGGGTTCTTGATCAGGATTTTGGGCAATTTCAGGGGCATTAGGCGGCGGAGTTTTCCATGGGATGACAATGAGGCGGACGGGGTTGCCATCAACAGATTCAATAGCAGATATAGCGACCTCCATACTTGTCACCAACAGGGTCTCGTTGCTCTCGTTGACAACAGAGAGTTGCCCTCTAGGAGTGATCAAAGAACCACTAATTTGGAACAAATTCCTTCGGTAGCAGGTTAACTCGGGCTGTAAGGCAGTTCCGTCGCTGGCAGTCGATGGCATCTCAGAAAGAAAGAACATGCCATGAAGCTGGGCGGATAGTTCTAGTTGCTGCATTCGGCCTTGCTGATCCACGATGGTATGCTTATCTTGTGTTCGCCGGAAAGCCAGCAGTTTGTGATCTTGATTTACCGTCAATCGAGAGCCGTCATCCCGCAAGTCCTGAACGATTTCCTGATAGGCGGCCGGTTCAGTTTGAGAGAAGGGTCTCTTGAGGCTGGGGTAGCTATGTTGCGCGGATAGGCTTGATTGGGAGTGGCGTTCATACGCAACAGAATCTTCTTGAGGATACCGTCCATAGGGGTAGGACTGGTCATGGCCACTGCGAGGACGCCCTGGAAGAGGGGACGCCGAAGCTGAGCTATGAAAGCCAGAGTCCATTGTTGCTGTGCCGAGTCTGTTGGCCAAGTGAGCGGAACCGTTGTAGGTGGACCAGAAATTCGAATGAGCAGGCTCTCCTCTGAGGTCTGACATGGTTACTGGATATGCTGTTGCTGTCATCATGGGCGCATATCCCTCTTTGCTTGTTCGCTCGCTGAGGAAACTCCGGTGAATCTTGCTATGCTGAATGATGAAGTGTAGGGGCTGATGTCGTGGCGGATGAAGGATCAACTGAGTGAGATGGCTCTTGATAGTTCACCACTCGAGAGAGCAAGCCGCTTCAAAACTTCTTCAAAGAGAGAAGGGCGTGCAAAGTACAACGACGGATATGATTGAGAGTTGAAGTTGAGAAGAGAACGGGATATAAAGAATGATAAACAAGAAGCAAGTCCATAAATAATAGACTGACGGCAGATGATGGAGGGGAGTGGTTGATAGATTTAAAAGGCCCGGCACTGGACCGGGAGTGGGATATCGATCCTATTATTACTCACAGCCGAGTAGTAGTATATACATACTGCTACGTATGGATGTGTGTATGGGTATGTGTGTGTGCGCGCATGTGTGTGTGTCTATAAAGACAACTCAATGGACAGAACGGGCTTGCGGGCAGGCACTTCCGGTGAGGGCCGCCGCCTTGCACCCCAGTACGGGACCTAATATGGCCTTCTGTCTACGGAGAGGTCCAGGGACGCTGGTCCACTCCGAACTAGAGACCCATGCTTTCTTCACAAGCAAAAGGCCTCGAGTGAGGCTAAGTGGGATAATGATTCGGACTCTTTGACACAAGCGCCAGCCAGGCGCAGCGACTTGCAAGAATATAGCCCATCACGTACCCATGCATGCAACCTTTCTTGGAAGGAGGACGAGGGGGGTACGTCGCGGCAGTGAGAGGGGTCGAACTCGGATCTCGTTCATCAGACGCTTGAAGGGGATCCCCGGGATTCCCTGCAAGTCTTTGGACTGACGTCCGGGCAAGCAGAGCATGCCTGAAATTCATGCTAGAGAGCACAAGCATCGTCGGTCTTTTTTTCCCATTTCATTCGTCTATCATATCCAGGGGGTGTGTGGGTGGGTATCTTTACATTTTTTTCCCTCCTTCTGTTTCCTTTGCTTTGAAGCCTCATTATTACCTGTTTATGCAGCCTCTGATCTCTTTTTTTTTTCTTTTGGGCTCTTTTTCCCTTGTTTCTCTGTCAAGACAAATGAGATCCGAGAGCTGGCCAGATCGGTGTTATCTGACCCTTCTCCTCCTGGTCATCACTGATGAGCCATATCTCCGTGCGACGCGAGACATGCGCAAAAATCGTTTGAAAAGTGGCGTTCCAAACCAATCTCCCAATAAGCCCGAGGACACAATACCAAGTTGGGTAATCTTAGCGGAGGGCAACGAGAGGAAATTAAGAACAAAGGCCGAGAGAAAAAGGCCGAGCAATGAATTTCCTTTTGATCAATAGCC